CCATCGGCCACACTCCCTCAATTTTCCTATCAACGCACAAAAAGGTCAAATAACTGAGGGATCTGAAACAAACTGTCGAAAGGAAAAAGATCTGCAAAATCATTTCAGCAAGAGAAATATTCACCATGATCCCCGCTGACAGGGGCTGATGACTGCGGCGGCATATGTGCTGAATTGCGAAAACTGACTGACCGGCTTTCTGCCGGCGAAAACGTGATTGACAAGATTTTGAGGCAAGCTGCGGTTTCGAAAATTAGGCATTATAGCCCATTTCGTAGTTAATATATTACCACATGTAATTTAGATTGTTCCGCCGCTTGTCTTGAATGTAATAGTGCTGGGCAGAGTTTCACCCAAAAGGGAAAGTGCAAGAATGGTTTTACTGATTAATCTCTCTTGATCTGTGAATTGTGCCCCTACTGTCGCCTGGATGCTGTTTTAGTTGTTAAATGAGCAGAAAGGTTGAGGTGTGTTGCTTGGTCATTGCTCAAAAGAAGTTCTGACTGGGAAAGAAATGAGTTTAGGTTTCACTGTCATTGTATTTTTTTATATACTTTGTGGGCTGGTGGTATACTGGAGGGATGATTAACGCAATGAACATATTCAAAGCTTGTGTTCAGATAAAAAGAAATGTCATGTAGAGTGCTGACTTGTTCAGCGTTTCTGGTATTCGTCTCTGGACTGGGAAAAAGTAAAAATTCATTTCGAAATCGATTGAGATTATATGCACTCTGCTGTTGTTTGCCTTAAATGAATTTGATTTAATTAAAATCCAAATGGGTGCTGGTGTGTATACGCCATGTTTTCACAGGGTAATGAAGGGGGCGGATCGATATCTCTCCTCAAAAGGTAATTTTGGTATTATATAGTGATTCCCGGTGGATATTTAGACCAAGAAATGGGACATGCCCTGGGCTCCACCTTTGGCGGAGGTCTTTTGCCCGGAACAGTTGTCAATGATGCAATTTCTTCAACAGAAGCGGTACTTTTGAATTAGTTTTTCGTTTATGTGATGGTTTGAAACATACTGGGCATTGACTAACTCCCGCAGAGAAGAGTGCATTTATACAATAAAGATAATGCCAATGAGCTCAAGGTTTGGCGCTCTTGTAGTGAAGTCATATTGTTTATAGGCTGGGTATTAAGCAATCGAGCGCGGAACGTAAATGTTCCAATACAGGAGGTGTTGACTCTTGGGCAAAAAGCGCAAGCAAGTTATCAGATCTCTGAGATAATCTGGTGTTTGGCCGCTGCTCGGGATTTCGGTTTGATGGAGTGTTTGTTGGATCTGAATTTATGATTTTTGAAGTCACGCCGGATGAGCGGTTGATGACTCACATATGATATACCGGCTCATCTTACTTTTTGACGAAGCCGGTATCTTGAGGTGGATTCTATTTATTCATTTTAGGCAAAGGCATTCAGCTCGTCCAGAACTCAGGATGCAACCCATGGGTTTCCGGGACAACAATCCAAAACCGCTTGTGCGGAGGCAGTTGTCGCGAAATCGTGCCGCAGGTCTCAAATTCGGCGTTTTAACTCTTTTTCAACTAATAACTTTCTTTGGATCTCTTCCATGAAAATTTGACAGAGGGCGGTGCCCACGCCAGCACTGACCAGCCCCGCCAGAACCGTCCCACGGCCGGGATGAACCCTCATTGAGATTTCCGATCTTTGATGCGAAGCGTCCAAATAAAAATCCAGCCACACCTCCTGATTCGGCGGTTTGGGTGATGGGGATCACTGTTTTTCATTTGTCGCCCAACTTCTGGACAACGATCACCATGGCTGTCTCAAGGTGTTCCGTGCCGGTAGCGGGGTCGAAGGGTCGGCATACCCTGAGAATGGGTTAACCCTGTGCGCAGGTGTCCGACAAATTCGGCAGAAAAGGTACTGTGCCTGTCGTTTTTAACCCAATCCCGCCTATTTTCAGGTGTCCCCGGAGTTGTAGTCGTCAAAGCCTGACTCAGACCGGTAAATGCGACGAAACCGAGGTAGGTGGTTCGCGCGTTTTATAAATGGATGGTGCAAAAGAAATGATTTGCGCCACATCGAGAACTCTGATCTGGTCTCTTCTAACCCGGCGTTTTCTAAAGAAGAAGCTAAAGAGGATGCAGGTGCCGAGGCGCCGCCTGCTCCGGGCCACAAGTAAAGCAAAACTGCTTTTCTCGGCGTACATTTTTGAACTTGAGGTCCTTCTCCGGCGGAGCCTGGTCCTCGGACACCCTACCCGCCACAGTACACGACGATGATGGACACACGCGGGGCTTTCGCGTAAATTTGTGTTCGAAAGCAAAGAGGAGGTGGAGGAAGTCGCTATGGAAGAAGCCCAGGAGCCGCCAGTGATAAAGGCTGAAACTTCAATGGGAACATCGGCTGATAATCTGCAAGGACCGAAGAATCTGACTAGGTGAGGTTCTGAGTCTTCAGTTAAAAGTTTTAGTGTTGGCGACTTCTGACTTTCTGGAGTGTCTACTTCTGACCAAGAGGCCAAAGTCTGCGCCCAAGCGGCTATCCGATTCCTGGTAATATCCATCACGATGTAATCATCAACAATCTGTTAAGGTTGAACAAAGAATATGCACCAGAGACGGCCAAGGAGCTGCGCCGATCTTGGCAAACTAGGCCGAAATTCACTGATTCTGATTTTAGGTCCGCTCGGGTGGCGGTAATGAGGACCACGGGCAGACAAATCCATCACCCATGATGTGAAAAATCGAATATTTTCCACAGTGTGGTGCCATGGTATTTTTCACCGCCCTATCGCTTATTAAACAAATCTTATTCAGGCCCTGAGCCACGAAGAATGGCTCTTCCATTATTCCAAGTGATTTGATAACTGCCTTCCAGCGACACGTTTTGTTTAGGATCCATCCAAGGTAAATCTGTAGCGCAAAAATCTATGCATGTTTATCATTTCAGCCAGTCACACAATCGTAGATCAACAGGAGCATCTCTTCCGATCTCGCAAGGCAATGTGGCCGACGAACGACAAGCCTTGTATGTGACGTCAAATCTATTTTTTATGACATTTTAGAGTCGCGGCGAGGTCAACTCGGATGAAAGGTTTAATTGACTTGCTGCAATCTGTCCTCTGAGGCGGGAAATTACGTGTTGACGAAGAAAAAACGGGCAATTATCACTGTATATGAATTCTGGACCGGATGTCAAGGAAACACTCGGCCTGAACGGCGTGGTGCCCAAGATACATTTCTGAATTTTCACCACCAGTCGGACCTCAGCGAGATATATACAAGCATTGATCCGCACCATTATCCCCAGGTTGGTAACTTTGCGTACACCAGAATTTACATTTAGTGGCAACTCGTGATGGGAGGGCCTTGCACCTCTGCCGCCCGATCATCCCTCGACAAAAAGCCGCAGCCCCATGCCAAGAGAATGAAATATGATAATAAGCGAGGCCCGCTGTCAGTCAGTTTGCCCAGCAGTGCTTTTGATAAGCCGATTTAGGAGCTGTTGTGAAGGATGAAGCGGAAAGTCCGGATGAGAGATCAAAGATGATGAAGAGTGGAACCCCTCCAGAAAGTATCCGCCGCCGCGCGAGGACGGGGAAGGGGCGGTCGAAGGAGGGGACGAGGCAGGGGCCGAGGACGCGGTGCGGGAAGAGGCCAAAACTGATCATTTTGTTCCACCGGGTAAGTTTGTTGATGCTATAATTTGTTATGTTGTTGATAAAATATTTCTTTAGTGTTGAAGGCGCACGGTGATAAAATAACTTCATTTATGAAAATGACAACTGAGATAATGGGGTCCCGCAGAAACCGGTACAGCGGCAAAGTGGGATCACAAGTGACTATAGTTTAACACCGACAGAGCTATCAGCTCATAAAAAGAGACAGAGAGCATTTTAAAGGCAGATTAGAGGAACAACGTGATAATAGAGATAACGGTTCAACAACAGGAGATTAGTCCCAAACATGACCCGCGCGAGTTGGCCGTTGTGGATGGTGATTGTGTCCCCTTCACTTGACTCGGCGGCGGGCGCAGCGTCTTCCTTCTTCCGCAGGGGCCTCCTTCTTCTTGGGCTTGAGAGCAGAGTTGAGCGTCTGCAAATGGAATAATAGCAAAGTGACAAACATCAAGTGAAACTGGAAATACTCTTGCCATAACCACTCACTTTCAACAATGCCTCATCTTCGAGCTTGCAGGTTAAAGCCAGCGTGTCAACATCCAAGGGCAGTCCAGTGATCTTGACGAGTCCGTTCGGCATCACCATAACGGTCGACTTGAACTGCGCGACAATTCCTCCTCCTTCTCGTAGAGCACCTAAAATCCTGTTTGTAATAGCACTCGGAATGCCTACATGGTATGGACGGAGAATCCCATGTCTTTCGCACTCGACGACTCCCATCTTGGCCTTGACCTCATCTTCGAAAGAGCGCAGCGTGAAAGGCATCAGCCCTGCTTTGTGACGACTTCGTTGAAGAAAGTTCGCGATGCCTTCATCTTCAAACTGTATTGAATGTCCTCGCGCTTGAAGACGGTGGTGCGGGTGTCCATGTCTCGCGTCTTACCTAGATTTACAAGTTGAGGGAGGAGCTCTGAACCATACCTGGGCCCGTTGAGAAGAGGACGTCAATGGCGTAAACCTCGTGCTTGTCAATCACACACTTTTCCATTTCGAGCGCTGCTTGTCGCCCGGATTTTGATAATCGTCTTTTCACCATCTACATGGTTGCGCTCCAGTGAATGGGAAACCATGTTCTCGATGGGCTTGACGCCATAGGCTGCGGCAGTCTAAAAAACAAAATTATCAAATCCCGATGCCGATGAACCATCCGTGAACGGCATATGGTCTAAAACCGCACCTTGTCAATAGCCGCAGTAATATCCATATTCTTGGTCTCAGGCCGGAGCATTCGGATGGCAATTTCCATAGCTTCGTAGGCGGCCTTGATCACATCCGCCTTCTTTCCGGAAACCTTGAATCCTGCGAGCATTGATTTGATCGATTCAAAGCCGGAAAGCTAACCTTGTGGCCCCAACAACGACCGTATGAGCAGCGGTGGCGACGTAGCCGTCGATATGGGCACCGAGATCGACTTTGACGACGCTTCCTTCCTTCAGAACAACCGGAGGATCGGAACGAAGTGGAGAGAAGTGGCAGATGCAATTGTCGACAGAAACGCAAGTTGGCATCGCGATTCCTATCAGAAAATGTTACGGAAAAGAGGTGAAAAATACCTTTTGAACATTTTGTCCTTCTTATACATTTTGTCGGTCTTCTCTTTCAAAGTTTGTCGCCGAGATCGCACAGTGTTGCGACTTCGATACCTTCCTTCACATTCGCAAGCACCTCCTGAATTTCATAACTTGGTGACAAAACGACAACGAACCTTGAGGACGGAGTTGACGATATCGGCAGCGGCACCATACTTCGAGACGACGATGTCGCTTGCGATAGTTTCAATGGTTTCTTCGCCTTCGCTTCCAGACGAGGAAGAGACGCTGTCTTTACGCGGCATCTGCAAAAAGAACATTCTAGAAGAACAAAGAAAAACTTGAAGAAAACGAGCTAAAATAGTCTATGACGCTCGCAGAGCTCTGAAAATAATTCGTGTTTTCGGGTGTCGAAAAGCGGACGACCCAGAGGTTGCTGTCAACCAGGAAACGAGCCGGGGAAAAACGGGAATTTGCCCGCCAAGACCTTCTGTTTGTGAAATAAAAAGGAGAAGAGAGAGTGGGGGGCCAGTTCGCGGCGGGACACGGAGAGCGGCTGTTTAAATTGGGGGTAGGGTGGGTTCTTGAAAAGTTTGGCCAAGGTGAAGCCTAATAGTGTGAAAATGTTTGTGGATTTGAGATTGCGAAAAGCACGCTGAACGGGACGTGAAAAATTCTGAACAAAAAAAGCTTGCGGGACGTGAAAATCACGGCGAGTACGCGTCGATAGGCGTGCTTTGTCGCCGAGGTTTGGTGCGATCTGGGGGCAAGTTCGCTGCTTTGCCCTGAAACTTGGAGAATCACACGGTATAAAAATAGGTTGAAAAATAGCTCAAGCTAATCGGCCTAAAAGGCTTTACAGATCCGAGAACCTTGGTTCAAAGGCAACATGGGCATGAAAGTTATCATCACAAAAAGAAGAACAAATAAAAACTTCAAAGCGGAATTCAAAGAATTGAAAAAAATTGAAATGGCATCGGAAAGAAACAAAAATCAAAAGTCAGAAACGAAAAGCGGATTGGTAGTATTTGATGCCAAAAATCATGTGGACCATGCCAAGTGTAGGCCAGTTGCCATGGTTACTCATGTTGTGCCTCGGGAAGGGGTCTGCAACCTAAGATACTTACTCTAAAGTTGATAATGAACTTGACAACGGTATTCAGCTATTCACTCGACAGTCATCTTGTCCCAAGATGCGTTGTGATGGGTGTCCTCGAGCCGGGCGGCGAGTCGACCCTTATCGCCGTCACCACTGCGAATAAGATCATCATCAAAAGTTGTTTTATCTCACTGAATGGTGCATTTCTATTCTAGACACTGAAAGCCAGCTGAACTTTTCGGAAAAGATCAACACCATCGCGACGGCACGATTTGGGAATGGCTACGACGTGCTGGTGATTGGGACGGCTTCTCAAGTAATCGGGTGGCCACTGGGTTGATTGCTTTAGGTCCTCTGCTATGATACGCATCAAAATACGACTGTTTTTCAGCGCGATGTTCCGGATGGGATCAATTGTATAGTGGTGGGTTGAGTTTCGGCCTTCTAGAACTTTTGGTGCTTTTCCATGATCGGTGGGGGACTAATTTTTTTCTTCCGAATCCAGGAAAGTCTAGTAGCCTAAGATCACGTATTTTAATAGTCATTTTAGCCTCAACAACCTAGAAGAAATTTAATAACATTTTTGTCGAAAATGGCATTTTTTGGTCGAAAAATCGATAATTTTTGTAAGTTTTTGACGTTTGGGATCGTAAAAACTAGTTAATAAACGCTTAATTTATTTATATTAGGAAAATACGGTCCGTCAGAAAAATGAAAAACCCCGGATAAGGCGAAATAACAAGATTTTTTAAACGATTCCAGGTGGGCCAAATGGGCGGCTTCGAGGAGGTGATCATCTGCGGTGGCTACTGTGCAATTTGGGGGTTTGATAGAGCGGGTAGAGACGCTTTTTGGACTGTTACCGGCGACTCTGTGACGGCCATGTGTCTGGTTGATTATGATGCGGATGGGCAGATGGAGGTACAAGGGCTCTAAAATCATTCGGTGATCCAAATCCTCAGTTAATCGTTGGCTCGGCCGACTACGAGATTCGGATCTTCAAAAACGATTTGATGCGCTGCGAGTTGATGGAAACGGATGCGATCGTGTGGCTTTCGGCAATTGGAGGGTATCGTTTTCGGTGTTTCTGCCAATGGGGGTTTTCAGACAGCGCTTCGTCTACGGGCTCGCAAACGGTACACTCGGAATCTACGAGGGTGAGGGCCGATTGTGGCGAATCAAGTCGAAGCATATCATCGCCGCTGTGCTGCCGTTCCCATCGGAAGAGTATATAGCGTGCATCTGGGATAGCGGCAAGGTATTGGGCCAGTATTCGATGTCAAAGCAATCCATAAAATGTTTAATATTTAAGAAAAACATTTTTATATTTTGGGTCGACATCCGAGCAGGAGGTTCGGGCGAGGTGATGAGCAAAGAGTTTGTCAACGGAGCGGTTGCCGGCGCGGTCAGATGCCCTGAACGAGAAACGAACCTCCCCAGATGACAGTGGCGCTCATTGATGGGAAAGGTAAGGAAGCTTGTAACCTTTCAAGCAGCTTTTTCAAGTGCGAACCTTCGAGGTCGCGCAACATCGTGATCCAATGGAGGAGGCACAGCAGCTGTTGAGGGAATATGGGCAGCAAAAGCATAACTTACTAGTGAGTACATAGTGAGAAAGCTGCTAGAGGGCTGTGTTTTCAGATGGAGCTGAGCAACTACGAACACGAGGAGAACATGTCGAAGGAGGAGAAGGAGAATGAGAATCGAATCCCGGTAGGCGGTAGATGTCTGGAAAGCGAAATGAGGAGCATTCAGGCCAATACCCAACTTGAAACAGTACCACGAATCAACCGGACAAAGGGTACAGTGGAGATGTGGTTGAATGCTTCGAATGAGGTGCCAATCCAGGGAGTTGTCATGTTCGCTGAAGGGCTATTTGCAGGGGAGAGCCAGGCGATGTGAGTTCGGAAATTGAGGTGATATATTTTTAGTTTTCCACGTGCGGACCCATCTTCGACCGTTGTTGTGGACTTGGCGCCATATAAAGACGCGGCTGTAGATGTTCATATCAAAGCCTTTCTAGCGTTTAACAATAGGTAATTGATAACAGCGTGCTATAGCTTTTTTTAGCAATCAACTCCACGTATTTGAAGTGACCCGATCGCTGCCTCGATTCTCGCGATTCGCGCTGATTCCCGGTTTGTCTGTCGAAATTTCATCAATTTTGGTTCGATTAGCCGAGGAGACAATTCCGGACCAAGTCGGCTTCGTCGAGTTCAAGCTGGTGCAGCGTGTGCCGAAGGTTGTCGACTGGATGTATGAGAACTTCATCATCTCCGACGAGTTTAGCTATCTGGAAAATGAGCCGGAGCGGCTGGATTTGAAGTGGGCTTCCGGTTATCGGAGGGTTTCAACAAGGTCATGTTCAGATTCGTGAGCCTGCAGCCAAAGTTGGGCACCGCCCTCCGGTTGATATACGATAGTCCACAGCAGACTGTGAGTCAAATAACAATTTTCTCCATGAAGCCATTGCAGTTCCGGATCGAGCACTCGGAAATGGAGACCGCCGGCGCTATCATACAGTCGTTGGCAGATTATTTTCAGGTTATACACAAACCGGATCTTTTAAAAGAAACAATTTCAGCTCCCAAATTTGACTTCGCACGCCGTATTTCCAACCGAATTCGGCGAGTTATCCTCTATCATGGGTGAGGTGAGGGCCTTAACATATAAAAGGGTTATTTACTAGTCTGGGCGGTAAATTAAAATTAAAATATTCCGATTAAGCTTGAAGCAATCTATGAGGCGAAAGAGAAGCTGAGTGCCGAGCTGAGTGAGGCACAGAGTATTGTCAAGGAGACGCTGGTCAGGGCGGAAGATGCCCTTCACTGCGACCATGTGTAAGAATGAGATAACTTTGAAAATAATTAGGAATTTCCAATAAAAAAGACTAAATATTTCAGCGCGGACTGTCGTCGTTACTATGTTCGAGTGCGGAACAACGATCGAGCGATGCGACAGGCGAATCAGGTGAGAGCGAGAGAGAGAGAGAGAGAGAGAGAGAGAGAGAGAGAGAGAGAGAGAGAGAGAGAGAGAGAAGTCCAAGATGACAAGCTCGCGAACAACTCCAATATTTCAGCTACGCATGGCCAATCAGGATCGCCTCGTCGCCATCCTACGCCGTCTGAATAAGCTCGTTGAGCTGGCGGCCAAGCTTCGAGGTTTGGCTTGAGACGGCAAAAGCTATTTTCGACAGTCCCTGCCAAAAAGCAAAAGTGCTGTCATCCGCAGGATTCGAACCTGCGCCCTCCGAAGAGGACTGCGACCTGAACGCAGCGCCTTAGACCACTCGGCCAGAATGACATGTGGGGAGGGGGCGGCGGGGGGCCCTATCTGCCCTGTGTGCTGACTTGGGTGGCCAGGCGAGCTGCCAGCGGGCCCGATTTTGCACGCATTCGTTCCCCAAAAATCACTGCTAGAACGTCCACATCCCTTATAATAATTGTTACATCTTTTAGTCGGGGAAGCATCGCGCCAGGTGATCACACTATGCCGACAGGCGCTCAACGACGAGAACGAGACGATCATGTCGAAGCTGTTCGAGTTTGGGGCTTGAAATCGATCGCGTGTAGTGTATCAAGCATGGTATATAAATAAAATTATTATTATTGAGTCCCGTTTGTGCGCATAGATACAGACAAGACGGCGGAGACATGCCTTTCGAGTCGTTATGAAGCCGCGATGCCGGCATGGTGGCAGTGCAGCATTTGGGGCATGGCGGAGGAGCAGCTGAGATGCTGAATACCCGGGTGAATAGGACCGGCATTGCAGAAGGCAAGGCAATGCTCGCCGCTAAAAATGATTTTCGAGTTATTTAAATAGATCGGAGAAAAATATGAGAAACGGGCATGGTAATGAATTTTTCTGTTAAATACCCCTGTTATTCCACAGCTTTAAACGAATTGTTGTGATAAGAATCGCAAGCCATTTAAAACGAGGTATGTTTCAGCCATTAAAAAAATTTAAATACCTGAGATATTACTAAAAGAACGCTTTGCTGCGATTCACAACACCCCCCCTCCGCCCACCGCTCCTACACAGACGACTCCCAGCTTTATATCTCAGGTCCCCATGGACCTACAGGGCTGTAACGTATACCAAAAGACTCGTCAAGTCCAGACGAACATTTTGGTATACATTACAGCCCCCCTAGGGCGAAGGGAACCGCCACATGGCCCTTAAAACCCACCCAGTAGCATGGACGCCCATAGCCCGGCAACACTGTCGATTGTCATTGCCCTGACTGGCGCATTCGAGGAAAGGAGCAACGTGTAGGAAACCACACTCCCCCCGATCCAATGCTCCTTTCACCTAAGACCGGAAGTGATCGACTTCAAGAACGCCCACCTCAACCTGCGTCACATCATACCGTGCCAATTTCTGGCACCCAGGCGGCAATCCCTTGGCCACGACGCATTGCAGCAATTTCTCAGAAGCCCGGACCACTGTCAAGCATGGTTTATAGTCAGGTGCTTGACCGCATGGCTAGAGGAGAGTTTTGTCGAGCTACGCAAAAGCCGTACCGTCGCTTCGATTTTTGGTTCGATAGCGGAGATGGAGTTGTTGATGGCGGGTGGTTGGTGACGGACCATTTTGAAGGAGAAGCTGCCTGGAGAAGCTGCTGCGTTTTTTTAGAGGACCGTAGCCTACCTTCCGGTGCGACTGTCCGTGTTGGGGTTGACGTGCTGGTTTCGACAGAGCCGAGAAGACCCTGCAATGGGTTATTTTCTTTAGGACGAAATTCATAATGCTGAAATTTCATCATTACAAATTTTGGTGTAAGGAAATCTGACTTTAGTACAAGCTTTAGCCAATTTTAAGCCTAAGCCAATCTAAAATCTTAAGCTAAGCCCAAGCACATCTAAGCCTAAGCCAAAGCAGTTTTAACAAGTAGGATTTGTTCAGAATTTAACGCTCTATCAAATGAAATAGATATGTCGCGTCGTAAAACCCGAGTAGAGACCAAAAAACACTGCTTATCAACCGTTAAGCCAGAAAGCAACTCGCCTCCGTGTACTTCAAGCCCGGCTCAGTTTTTCCGACGCTCTTGCGCTTCGACTTGGCAATTGCATGAGCGGATGCCGGGACAGAAGAAGCCATGCCACCCGGAAGACTGGCCAGCATCTTCTCGATCAATGGCTCGAAAGCTGGAAGAAGTTGTGGCGAGGAATTACGCCTAACCACTAGAAATGCTCGGCATATCGGCTGGTAGTATTTTTTTGGTGGTGGTGGTCGGTTGGGGCGTCTAATTGAGAAGGTATAATAAAAATTTACGGCTTCTGGCGTACCGTAACCGGGGCCAGTGTGGTTGTGGTGAGGAGAGCTTGAGCCCGCGATGGAGCCGGAACTTTGGGGAATTCGGTTGGGGGTTGGAAGAAGCTGGAAATGCGGGATTAAACGGCTTCAGTCTACAGACTTTCTGTCACTGTCTGTCTGTCGGTCTCTCCCCCTCTTTCTGGCTCTAGCACTCTCTATATCTCTAGCACTCTCTCTGTCTCGTTGTCTCTCTCTCTCTCTCTCTCTCTCTCTCTCTCTCTCTCGCTCTCTCAAAAACCAGCACCTAAATGTCTGCGGTGTTTCCATGGTAAATCCCGGAAATACAGGCCAAGAAATGGTCGGCAGTGTGAATTGCGGCAAATTGGTGACCGGCGAGATGGGTGTTTGCTAAAATACAACCCAATGACAAAACCACATCTCGTTTACCGTAATCATCTCAAATGGCAGTGGGGCTACGGTAGTTGATGGCGGTCTGAAAGTATAGGGGGTGTATTTTACCATCGAAACACGCCGTTAATCTTTACAATTTATTAGGCACCCTGAGTATACGGTACAACATTGACATCGTGAGTTTATGGGGGGACACGGGGATTTATGGAACAAATACGCGGAACAACCCGGAACACTGTTACCGTAAGCCGACGAGGAAAAGTAGGGGGTTCGTTTGGGAGCGATTAAAGGGACCGCCAAGTTAAAAGAGGTCAGGACGAGAGGTCCCTTTAAACCTCAAAAACCGACAAAATGTGCATACACGGAGATCCACAAGAATTGTGCAAGAAATTGGGACGGATTAGAAAAGACTTCAGGCCGAGGGTAATCGATTACGCGTTCGACATCAGGGGTAAATTGTATACACACGTAGCATAAAAGGCAATAGAGGCAGATTAGAGGTAGGGCAATTAAAGGGACCAGTAAGGGCGATAATCTGCCTCTTCTTCGACTGGGCATCGACAGTTAATCTTGTTTTTCTAATACGATGGCAGTTAAGCGCCATAAGGAATCCACAAAAGAAAATCGATAGTCATGCCTTACAGGTGCCTTTAACTTTCCTTAATTACCACCCTCGAAAACCCAATAAAAGCGACAGAAAACGCCTATGTACACCCCGGATCAACCGGAATTCACCAATGGAATATGGTCATTTGTTCGTCACTCAGCATGTGCTTTTTCTTCTTGACAATACGACGCCGACGATGTCTGGGCTGTATGCGTATCCTCTTCGGCACTCTGGTGTGCATGCGGAAATCCGGGTTGGCCACTCGGGCCACTGGGCTATCCTGCACCTCGGCTACCGTATCCGATTGCCACATGGACAGTTGCCACGGGCTGAGCGTCGTCGGTTGGGGGGCTTTGTGGAATTTGCGTTGCATGGTGGGAGGGCTGAAATTTAAGCTTGGGTTAGGCATGGAAAAAAGGAAATTAGGGTGAGGAGGCTGGACCGCAAAATTTGGAGGCAGAGTTAGGGAGGCAAGATATTAAGGGAGAAGGCACTTACAGTTCTGGCACCTGGGAACGATGGTGGAGCAGGAGATTTGGCCGCTCTTTCGGTACCTAGGAACTTTTTTAAAGGGCAAGAGCGATCAGCCGATTTCCCAAAAAGACTCTGCTAGCCTGCTTTCGCGGTGGATTTGCATAAAACTCACGACAGCCAGCCCCTCCTCCTCGAGCTCGTTCTCATCAATATCTGTGATGAAGGCGAGTTCCTGGCCGGGTGGGGGGATGATGCGAGGGTCCGGAGTTACGCGGAGACGTGGCACCTGAGAGAGGTTTCTTGAAGAGAGAGAGAGAGAGAGAGAGAGAGAGAGAGAGTAATAGCTAGAAAACGACTGACTTTTGTCGCTACCGACTCCATCATGACTGGCAGGTTGGTCGATGTGGCCGATGGCACTTCGCCGAACTATAAGCTCCAAGCCTTTGCTGTTAGATTTGCTATTAAAAGGTCTAAATTGATATGTTCGCAAATTCATCAGTTTAGAGTTTAAATATGTCGAAACTTCAAGATATCGGGGGCTACCTTGAAAAATATCGACATATTGAACTTTCGACATTCTGAAATTCCGAAATTTGGAAAATAATCCATTTAAATCTATTCCGCCTATGCACGAACCGTCCCCAAATGCGACACAACGTCTGGTGGCGGAGATGCGGATGGTGGATGGGTCTCGTCTGGAACGACAGCCGGTACGAGCGTTGGGAATGAAGTGACAGCCTCGGCAGGTGTCATCCCGGCCGGAATATCCGGTCTAAAACGTGCACTGTCCACCACTACAGTACCCTCCTTCGGTTCTTCCTCGTCGGTGGAGAACACTAAAATGCACTTTGTGTTCGAAAAAATTCTTCATTTACTTCCACGGTAGAAGGATGGACCGCATTCCACCTCTGCACATAGGCCGGGACATGCTTTCTGAAAATGTCTTCATTTGCAGAAGTTCTTTTTCTCAGACGTATGCCGAGTCCTGGCGCCCTATAATGGCAAGCAACCATTTTAATAGGGTTTTTGAGCACATTAAGCTGTAAAAAGGCCGCAAACAATTCAAAAAGCCATGAAAATGGTTAATTTTTGCTCAAAATGAATGCAAATTAGTCAAAAGTTTTGTCATTTTATTAAAAAGGTTGCCATAAGGTTGTGGTAAACGAAAACTACTGAAAACGTGAGATCTTGTTTTTTTTGGTATCGTGGGGTCCAGGCTGAAAAGGGAAATTAGGTGGCCCTCCAAGCGATGCCCCCCGCTAAGGAACAAGATCCTACACGAGACTGGTCCAGAAAGCCCGTAAGCTTGCCTTACTCTTCCCTTTAAATCCGCTGTAAAAACGAGGATCAACCCTTTTTGTCTGACTAGGTACCGACGGTATAGGGATTCAGAATGAAAATTAATGAATGAATGAAAAATGAAAAATCGAGCACAAGCACCTGGCGTGAAATATGGCTTTCGATACCCAATCAGGTAAAAAGCTGGATTATCAGTTTCCGGTCCCATGAAAGGCATTCTTAAACTGACCCGTATCCTCGACGTGCAGCAAAATGCCGAATTTATCCGCAGGCAATCCAGCCGAGCGGCAAAAGTATCGATGGCAAGCGCCGACGGGAGAAATATCAATAATAATGGCGGGTATCTTCTTAACATTCCTGAAATATTTTGCGATACAAAAAAATTCGAAAACATAGGAAATCATTATAATGGGAAAGGAAATCGGGAAGTTGGCGAGAAATAAATAGTCAAATTCCAGAAGGGAGCTTTTTGGTGATCATCGAAGAAGGCTGTGGGAACCCAGAAGAAGCCCAAAATACCGACAGCCGAAATACCGACAGCCAAAATCCCGACATACAAAATAGCTGCTTCAAAGGAAGTGGCATTCGAGATTTTGGGTCTCGGGAATTGGTCGAAACTCTAAAAAATAGAAAAGTTCGAAATTAGAAACCCGGAAATTAGAAAACTTCGAAATCTTATCGCATAGGAAACCTTAAATTACAAAATAAATTAAATTTAGTTAAACCAGACAGAAAACAAAATTCACGGACAAGGTGATAACAGATCCAAAAAGATTTTAGCAATCAAGCGGAGATACTTTCGGAAGGGCCAGGCAACAGTACAACACTGTACAAAAAACTCTGGATTTGCCCCGAGGCTAAACAGAACCTTTGAAAAAACCAGCCGAATGAACCGTCCGGAATGTGGAATGCTTTTCAAAAATCCCACGAAAAAAAGGGAAGAACGATCCGCCCGAATCTGTTCCAAAAAAGGACAGCGGGATGACCGTGTCCCCCCTAGGGGAAAAAGGGCGAGAGAGATGGTAGAGTGAAGAGAGATGGAGAGAAATAGAGATGAACGGGACAAGCGGTCAGATGCGATCTAGAGAATGGCAATGAACAATGGCTCGAGATGGCACACCTTCTCTTCTCAACCTGACTCATTTTCATTCTCTGCCTTTCTCGGCTTCTCTTGTTATTTAGTGAAAACAAGGGACGCTTTTTCCGAGAGAAGATGGATCGGATTAGACAGGACATGACATGGGGGGGGAAGAGAACAAGTGCCCCCCGGTCAACTCGAGAAACTTCAAAATATGCATTGGTAAGGTATCCCAAACACTTTCAAGAGGTTCAGGCGGATAGTAAGGCAAAAAAGCTGAAATCCCGAGAGCCAATATCCCAAAAGATGATATTCCGGCAAGCGAAAATCCCGACGGCCAAAATGTCGACAGGTGAAAATCCCGGTAAGATAAAACACCGACAGCCAAAATATCGACAAAATCCCAACAGACGAGAATATCGACCGTCTGGATATCGACAGCCAAAATACCGACATCCGAAATCCCGACAGCAAAGATCCCGATAGCCAAAATACTTACAAACCAAAGCGCTGTTTCATTGAAACTAGTCTTCAAACAAACGTCGAAAATTGTCGGTATTTAGGCTAGCGGAAATTCTGCCGTCGGGATTAAGCTGGAACTCGATAATGAAAGGCTCGCATTTTTATCTCAGAAAAGCCGAATTCTCAAAGGCATTTAAGCAATTTATGAAAGTACGTTTTTAGGAGATTTTTCGTCACCGATTGATCGTAAAGTTAAAATTTTTAAAAGAAGCGTTTTCTAGGGCAATCATGTATTAACGAAGGGAATATGGCGATACCTTAAACGAACATATGCCATCGATGAGCAAAACGTCATTTGTACAGTGTGGGAGTGCCGAGGGGCTAGCCTTCAAGTGGCTAGACAAAGCAGAATAACACAAACATAAAAAGCAACGTTAGAACTTGCTGAACCACGCGCGTTAGGGGGGCTGACCAAAGAGCACATCGCCCATTTCCGGTCTCGAGCCGGCCTGGGCTCGGCTTTTAGTTAGGGCAGATTTTGGAAAAAGTTTGAGCACATTTTTGTGCGGGTAGTGAGCCCCCGGTTGGGAGGTATGGCAAGGACAAAGCACTTATCGTGACGGAGGGTTGGGAATAATTACGAGGCACTCCTCTACACGAAAAAAGGAGGGTACCGGGAAGGAATATGGTTATGGCTGGCGGGTATGAAATAGGGGGAGGAAAGTTAGAGGATTCTAGTCTGCTGATACCAAGAGGAGGTAGGAGGTACTTGAAGTCTTGGAGGGTTTTAGAATTTCTCAACAGAAAAAGGGGCTTAAAGGCACCGGGAATGCTTGGCTACGGAATTATTGGGCTTTTGGGGCAATTTTTCGACACTTAGGTCCACAAAATTCCTAGGTAAGCCTTGCGTATTCCTTTAAATGGTTTAGAAATCAACTATAAAAATAAACAGCCATACCACAAATCGAAACCCGGCATGCAAATGAGGCACACGAATCGCCCGAGGGTGTACAAGCCGCGCGCGTACACTCCCGGAAAACGGGGAAGCAATCGGAAAGTATTGAGAGGCGTGACTCGGTCATTGTCCCCCCCCCAAATACCTTCCGTGATTCACCACCTCCACAAAAGGTGACTTTTCCTCCGCTCCCTCATTTTCCCATAACCCTTTTTTCAAATGTACGATGGCCCCCGTGTGATGCGTCAGGCTGGCACTGCACTTCTGTCTTTTTCCAAAATGAAATCTAGTAATTCAAGGAACGATGAGCGGCTCCTGGCTTACTGATTTATTAGTAAAGAATACCAGGCAAGCATTTGCTGACCATTTACAACAAAGAGCAAAAGTGCTGTCATCCGCAGGATTCGAACCTGCGCCCTCCGAAGAGGACTGCGACCTGAACGCAGCGCCTTAGACCACTCGGCCAGAATGACATGTGAGGAGTGGGGACGGGAGCGGGCTATGAGACAGGGCCCGAGAACGCTGGCGGGAAGGTCGGGGTTTCAAAATCGGCCGATGCCTGGCCGCTCGGGCCTTTTGCTGTGTCCATGGAATCGGTTTTTTGTTCCTTAAATGTAACAAAAAGTAGCTGGAATTTAAATAAGAAGGTGTAGAGATGGATGGACTGTTTATTTAGGTATCACGGCTGTCAAAAGCGGTGTACTAAAGTTAGTAAATTCTTGAAATTCGACTCTAATTGATGCAAAACTAGATTTTTTTGATAACATGCAACAAACAGACACAATTTAGAATTAGATTTTCTACTTCATTTTTACGTCATTATACAGTTTTATGTTTTGTATATTCATTTTTTAATGTATTTAATAAATCTTTATTGCGACAATTAATACGGGACATGGACATGTGCACAACTCTTGTAGCGGGTAACCGGATACGTGGCCAATTTGTCAAGGGACTCGTAATCGTGGATCGGAAGGGACAAACAAAAATAAATATTTTACAGAAATCAAATGCTCAGGCAAAAGTGACGGCCAGCATCTTTTTGTCCATTTTTTCGTCGGTTGGCAGGCCATCGGTGCTGCTGTCTAAATCGGGTTCTTTAGGATTTCCGGGGGGGGGAAAGTATTTCCGGGGGGGGAAACCAAATTTTTTCGGCCCGAGCCTAAATTTTTTTCTAAATAGCGCATGCGTTTCTAAACCGTTTTTAACTAGTCCTGAGCATAAAAACTACCCACATTTTAATTAAAAAATTTAATTTTAGGTCGAAAAATCCTATAGAACCTTTAGGATTAGCGGGGGGGAAACACCCAAAATGACTAAATTTTCGACTTTTTCAAACATTTTTCTAACTTTTTTGAAAGGTTTTTCTACTTTAAATCTAGTTAAAATTTACTAAAAACAATGTGAAAACATTTTGTATTTGATTACTAGGTCAACCGGGAAAACCAGGAAAAAATTTGGTTTCCCGGAAATACTTTCCCCCCCCCGGAAATCCTAAAGAACCCTAAATCGATTTAATGATAAAATTGAGGTAACTTTAACTGTGAATAACTATTAACTAATGAAATTAAATATTTACCTGTTATATTCGATGCCATGGTTGCGTTGGAAGAGGTGGTATCACTGGAATCCGTGCTGCCATGTGATGTATGGCTGTGTGTTGATCTGAAATCCACGGGGTTTTTTTCCGCGCACGGGGGTGCGGGGGGCGTGGCCAAGGGGGAGTCAGGCGGAGGGTCAGGGTTCGATTCCTCTCCTCGCGTAAAATCATGACATGGTTTTGCTTTTTTTTTGCAAAATACTCAGAAAAGCGCCGACAACAAATCTGTGGCGAATCTCAGGCAGAAAATTAGGAAACTGGGGCGACCTGAGGCCCTAACGAGAACATCGTCTTGATAATCGCTTCAAAACATTTGAAATCCTTGTTTTTCCTCGCGATCGCTGTGATTCTTTTACCAAAATGTTCCCGAGGGTCCTCTACAGATTACCAGGAGGAGAATTTGTCTTTTTTTCTAGAAAAAAAGGGTATCGGACCATTTCGCCGAAAACCATCTCGCCGAAAACCATCTCGCCGAAAAACCATTTCGCCGAAAACCATTTCGCCGAAAACCATCCCGTCGAAAACCATCTCGCCGAAAACCATCCCGTCGAAAACCATCTCGCCGAAAACCATCTCGCCGAAAAACCATTTCGCCGAAAACCATTTCGCCGAAAACCATCCCGCCGAAAACCATCTCGCCGAAAACCATTTCGCCGAAAACCATCCCGCCGAAAACCATCTCGCCGAAAACCATCCCGCCGAAAACCATCTCGCCGAAAACCATCTCGCCGAAAACCATCCCGCCGAAAACCATCTCGCCGAAAACCATCTCGCCGACAACCATTTCGCCGAAAATCTAATTTTGTATGCAAATCTTTTGTCTTCCCAGGTCCTAGTTCCCGGCAAGCTAAATGGGCAAAATATCGGGCTTCACATTTTCACAACTGTGGTAGGTCTCGCCGAGAAAATTAACTTGATTCACATAAAACGCATTATCACAGGGTTTGGGCAACGGCGATTAATTAGCAAGCGGAATCAAATCATTGTCTAATCGCAAGACTTGGCGATCAGGTCGGTGAATTCCATCGGAATGTGATCTTAGACTGGTGACTGCACCGGCTAACTTGATAAAATTTGGTTCCCCCGCTGGACCCCCCGCCCCCGCTGAAAGCCCAGTTCTGATACTCTACCGATATATCCTTTCTCGAACCAGACGATCATCGGGATCAAGAGGCGACGATGAGACAATCTCTCATTGATCTTTCATAATGCCTGAAATTGCAGCAACCCCAGCAACATTACCATACAAAATTAGATTTTCGGCGAAATGGTTTTCGGCGAAATGGTTTTTGGCGAGATGGTTTTCGGCGAGATGGTTTTCGGCGAGATGGTTTTCGGCGAGATGGTTTTTCGGCGAGATGGTTTTCGGCGAGATGGTTTTTCGGCGAGATGGTTTTCGGCGAGATGGTCGGAATTCGAAAAAAAGTTATAGCCATTAGAAGAGATTTTCTAATACATTTTGGGGGCGAAAAGGGGGCGTGGCCTCGCCCTTTCCCTGTCTCCCTCTCGTGCGCGCCCCAAGTAAGGTTAAAAACCCCGTGAATCGGGTTTTTGAAGTTGAGAAAGAGAGAAACAGAGAGAGAGAGAGAGAGAGAGAGAGAGAGAGAGAGAGATTTCCAAATTTTAAGCCCCTCTTACCTTCGGTGGTCATCATTAATACTGTATGAAGATAGGGACTGGAGGGATGAGCCGTAGAAGACGAGGTGCGACACGTTGTCGCTGTAGTTGGCCAGACATTCCTGTAATTGTAGGTATTTGCTGCAGTTTTTAATAGATTTTACATTTTGGATGATGAGGGTGATGATTCTTTCCTATTTTCAAGAAAATCGTACCTTAAACGGATCGTCAGCGAGAGACTGGGATGAGCCGGGCTCGGGCTCCGGCTTCGGGATCGGCATTGGACTGCTGCTGAAATTGTTAATAGGAATACTTAATTTAACTTTTCTTTTCCGGAAATTGCCGTGTTCAAGTGGAATTTAATGCTATATGGTTTACGATGCTTTTTATTTTTAAAAGATAAAAAGCTTTCAACAAATACCTCTGCCCGTGCTTCTTGACCCCCAACAATTTTTCGGAGATCGACCGACGAAGCGACTTCAAATTCTTCTGTATCATGGCGTGGACTCGTTGCTGTAAAAATAATGGGTAAATCCGTAAAATGCGAATTTTAAGAGAACCTTAAAGGTGAAATGATTTTGATTGCCGGGGGGTTTCGGGAGTAATTGGCAGGTTGGCGGATGGGGTGGGGTCCCCGAGGGGATACTTTATTTTCGGGGGGCTCTTTGAGAAATTAGAAAAAAGGGAAAGGTGGGGACGGTTCGGTTAAAAATCCCAGAATGGGGATTGTGTTGTCACGTTTCAGGGGTGTGAAAAATTCATTTGGGGGGGTTGAGACGATCACAAAAAACGTTGGTTGATCTTTGTTGAGAGGCGTATTATGATTTCTGAGGGTTTGTGGGCTTAGGCTTAGGCATAGACTTAGACATAGGCTTAGGCTTAGGCTTAGGCTTAGGTTCAGGCTTAGGTTATGCTTAGGCTTAGGCGTAGGCGTGACTTAGGTTCAGGCCTAGGCTTATGCTTATGCTTAGGCTTAGGCGTAGCCACCCCCCCGAATCACGATGGAAATTCCGACTGAATACTGACGACATCAGAATGCCTGTATATCGGGAATGGAAGGTGTGCAGGGGTATTGCTAGGAGACATTTATGGGCCCTTCGTAGAAGTGGCCATTCCCACGGGACACCGCAAGTCGATGCGTGAACGCATTTTTCGGGATCGCAATTGAAAAACAAATGCGTAGGGAGGAGGGGGAAGCACCGGGGCGGCAGGGTAATTTGGGAATTCCCGGAAAACTGTACGAGAAGCCAGATACGGCTTCAACTTAGGCTTAAGCCAAGGCTCAGGCTTATACGTAGGCTTAGGCTTGGGCTTAGATTTATGTTTTGGCTAAGCTTAGTCTTAAGCGTAAGATGGTCTAGCGGTAAAAAAAAATTCCGGGCCAATACTAGAACGTTTTGACATCTGCCACACCGGAAGTGTGTGTACATATGCAGGTATCTGATTCCTGAATCGCGTCTGGAGTGTCTCCTTTTGCGTGTCCGGCCCCCATTTGCCTCCAGGGAAATACGGGAGGAAAAGCCGAGGGGACACGGCCCGGAGGGGAAAACATCACGACCTGACTTAAAAATGGGATCCTCTTTTTGGGGGAGGAATTTATTAGGGGTGAGAAAGTTGGCCTCCATCGTTTCTTTAAAGCGATATAATTGACCGGAACGCGATTCGGCTCTATAAATAGTGGTGAGAAGCGGAAGAACGCGGAGCCCTGGGCCCAGATATGTAAAAGGAGATGTCGAAAGGAGGCCCGAGATTCAATTAGAAGATGTCCCATCTAGGGTCCTCTTTTTAGGGGTGCCATCGCCAGATTTCCGGGTAAGAAGGACTTTTAGTTCCGCCAGGGAGTTTTCAAAATTTTCTAAGGAACCTCTGCTGGGCTGCGTCGACTGGTTCACTTATCGATTACGCCCTTAATTCAGCAACCAAACTCCTTACCGTAGCGCGATCAAACGAGAATACCGACCGGCGGCGGCGCATTTTTTAGCGAGGAAATAATTTTGTGAGATGACAGCCGCGGGGTCCGATGGCTTATCGTCTGGTTCACGGGATTTTTGGGTCGGGGAATGGGGAGGGATACGATAGATTATCCGCAAATTTTCCGCTGGCCAAGCTGAGCAGCCACATGGTTGGGGAATAACAAGGGGAAATTCGGATTGGAGGAGCTTAGGGGAGCCTAAGTTTAAGCCTCAGGCCAAAGCCTAAGTCTTGACTACAATGTTATGCATCCGGGATGGAAAAAATTGTTTTAAAGGAACAAGGAAGGAGGAACCGCGCCTACTTTATCTCGACAGGCAGCGAAATACCATATGAAATTCGGAAAAGGGACGCAAAATGGAATTGTTCGTAGCTGTAATTAACCTGAAAAATTCAAGAGATAAAAAACAAGTATCAAACTGTGATTTGGAGCTTCACGTAGCTTTTCCTACCCAACCGGCGAAACAGAGTTGATGCTCCTCCTTCCTACTCCTCCTAAATACCCCAACCAAGCACCCTATACCCCTAAACAGCTCGCGTAATCGAATATAATGACGGCAAAATCTGTACACTTTCCAGAATGACCCCCGGCCCGGGGGCCAACGATAATCTGATGCTCAGAGAAGAGGTAGGGGGAGGAGAAGGGGGTGTTCTGACGTCGAGTGATTGGATTGGACACTCGACGCCCATCCCCGGGGCGGCTCTCAATGCTAAAACACACGTGCTTTCTCTCGTACGTAAACCGCCACACCGCCGGTGGTCAACAGGTGTCGAGCGGAATCTCCGGGAGTACGTTTTGAAACTCTATTTTAGTATGGGAGTGCGAAACTGTCGAAAAGGAACCTTTATGGATGAGAGAAAAATGGCAGTGAGAAAGAGAGAGGGAGAGAGAGAGAGAGAGAGAGATCGTCAAAACATCAATTACGCCTCCAAAACCCCGTAAAAATGCGCTTTCCGAGAAACTATACCCTTTAATCTCGCCCCAGCTACCGTAATCGAATAGAAACGACAAAAACACAAATCTAGACCCGTTCTATAGTCGAGAGACCCCCGTTCTGCACGGCCCGCCGCCATTCCAGGTTTCGGGCCAAAATCCAATTCCACCGGGGGGTCTCGGCTCGAGGGGTTAAGCTGTCGGTGATCAGGCTCGAGTGGCCAGCGGCCACGCAATAGAGGCGAGAGAACAGGGGATGGAGAGAGTCGCCGAGATGCAGAGGGAATGGCTGGGCTCTGATCGGCAAATAGTTTTCGCAGATAAGTTTTCACATGCGGGGCAGGGGGCGGAAGACGCAAAACTTTTCGAGAAGAAAAACACCGCTGGGGCACAGGTTTTTGGAAAGTACGCAAAAGGAAAAAGGACGACATGGATGGGGATTGAACCCGGGCCATGAAAGTGATAAGCGAGAGCAGAACCAGTACACTAAAAAAGGGCGGTCTCTACAAATAGCGATAGTAGAATGAAAATAGTTGTGGTTGGATAGATGCCATTGTCAGTGCTGTGTCCGCCCTCCGCCAAGATGGCGGTAGCGGTGCAGCCGAGAAAACTGGATCTGCAATGGCTGTCCCCAACATTCGAGGGGCAGAGGGGGGTGATGTCAACGGATCGGAACGGAATGAATGTCGAAAATGGCATAAACACCTAGGAACAGTCGAGCGAATTTGCGCGATTGGCAAACAGTTCGAGTAGGACGGGCACTTATTTTGCGAACTAGCAAATTCAGTGTAAATATTATTATGACGATTCGTGAAAAGCGTGAAAAGTCCAAGGCGTAGCATGGCGTAGCGTAAGCTGCCACGCGTATGCTTAGGTTTCAAAAATGGTGACAATATTTTGCTTGACCCGATTCTTGGAGCTTTCGCATTATCGGGGGGGGGGGATGCGACCAAGGTTTTCAGAATCTTCCAGAATTGTCCAAATCAGAATTGTCCAGAATTGTCCAACGAGGAAAAGGTGGCTTTCGTTCCCGATACCCTCCGATAATGCAAAAGAACCTCAAACTCCATTTTTTTCTAAAGCTAAAGAAGTGCCACACTCCCAAGAAAACCTCAAAACATGAACGAGCTGTTCCTTGAGGGCTTGGGGTGGTTTTGAGGAAGTGACTTGCAGAGAGGAAGGAGGGATGGATGGGCTAACTTATGCATAGCCCCCCATTCCATCCTAACAACCGGTCTCTCCCTCCTCCTCCTCACCAGTCTTATCACATAAAATGGACGAATAGAAGGAGGAGGAGAGGGATTCCTCAATCCATGGATACTCATGCCGCCACTACTAGATGCAAAGGGGAATGGCAAAAAATGGCGAATGTCCTTGATATGGACCTCGGACAATTCTTACATTTTCGTAATTTTCCCTTGGCTTGGGCTTGGCTTAGGTTTAGGCTTGACTTAGGTCGGAAGTCAGGTTTAGCTTAGGCTTTAGAAAGGCCAAGCTTTTCCTTAAGCTCACTTAGCCATGGCCTTAAGCTTAAAGCTTTAATAAACTTGGACTAGGACTAACTTGGAATACGGTAGAACACACAGGAGAGCAATTTATAGCTCTCCAAAACTCTTTCCGGCAACTTCCAGAACCCGATTTTCGACCTCCAGCAGAGCCGTTCGTGCCTAGAGTTGCCCCTCGTGGCCCATTGTCTGCTGCAAAAGCACCGGAAGCCCGGAAAAGGCGGAATTTAGAGCATTTTTTGGAGGACGGAAATGCTTACGTAGGGATTGAACAATTGCGAACTTGGCAATTGTAAAGTGTTGAAAAACGATCAAAGCCATAACCAAATCGGAGTCAGAGCTGCAGCCTAAAACTTGCTCTTTCAACTAGCCGACCCGTGCCGTAATGGGAGCTTTCCATTCCATTCCTTTCTACATGCCCGCCCTTTTCTTCGCCTTCCAAACATTCCCCAAATATTTGCATGCCAATGCGATGGGGAGGTGCGGCGCCCGGTTTGCAATATTTTGCCCCGGGTGAACGGTTTGGGGAGGGCAGGTTGGGAGAGCTTTTTCGGGCTCAGGGGAGCTGGAGAAGCTTCAGAGTTCGAGACGCTTTTAAAGGGACCGGGAAGCGCTGGGATCCAGGTAAAAAGAATGCGGCTGACAGGGCGAATTCCGCGTGAAAATGGGCCTCTTCGTCGGCCACTTCAACCTGAAGCGGTCACACGCTGACTGGGAAGGGGGTGTTGATGGATTCAGGTATTCCTTCCGGGACTTAAAGAAGAGAGAGAGAGAGAGAGAGAGAGAGGGAGAAAGAGAGAAAGAGAGAAAGAGAGAGATATGATATTCTTTTTTTGAGGCAGAATGACAGCAAAACAAGCAATCGAGAAGCAATGTCACGCACTGATCGTTCGACTATTGAACGGGCGGATACAGCGCCGAAAAATCGGAATCCAATAAACCATCAATCACAACAAGGCGGGGACAGGGTATCGAATTGTGAGACCGTAGATGTGGCGAACTGTTTTCGCCCAATCACAAGCCATAAGCCGACCAGAGTCAAAATCCTGGCATAATCACGTGGCCAGCCTCTCTCTCTCTCTCTCTCTCTCTCTCTCTCTCTCTCTCTCTCTCTCTTTCTCTCCCTCTCTCTCTCTCTCTCTCTCTCTCTCTCTCTCTCTCTCCCTCTCTCTCTGTCTCTCTCTCTGTCTCCCTCTCTCTCTCTCTCTCTCTCTCTCTCTCTCTCTCTCTCTCTCTCTCTCTCGTGATTAACATATCATTGACGCAACCGACACAAAAAAAAATCTGGGGAACATGGAAAAGATTAAAAAGATCCGAGTGGGCTTCGCTTAGGCTTAGGATTATGCTCGGGCTTAGGCTTAGTTAACCTTAGAAATAAGTTGCTAAAACACCAGCGAAATGCCTCCGGCCAACACCACATGGCCAACATTTCGGAATTGGTTGTGTCCCGGGCCAGAGTGCAAACGGGGTACTTTTCGGTCGTTCTCTACCCCCATGGTTTGCCGCTTTTTCACCCCCCTTTCTAGCGTTGTTTATGTCCCGCCTCCTCCTACGTCTATGTCGAGACCAAAACATCCCTTCCCCACACAAGAGTGCATGCGTACCCCCATCAATTTTAAACGGTGCCCCCGGATTGAGACATAGTACACCTGTTTGTAGTTGACGCCGACCTGGTGGGTGAAATGGCAATTTGTCAAAATGATGCCTCACGGTTAAATGGTTTAGTTCGTTTAAGCCCAAAAACAAAAGCTGCGAAGTTTTAAAGCGCAAAAGGTAGCTTCAGCCGTTACAGTCTTGTCGTCAGCAATGGTCAGACAGGGATAACTATTCCTCATTAGCAGCGGCCGGGGGTCGAACCCGGGTCGTCTGGGCGAGAGGGCTGGGGGTTAGCCCCTCGACCACGCCCATCGCAGGCAGGGGGATCGGGGAGAGGGGTGATGAGGGGAAGGGGCCGAGGGCTGGGTGCCTGCTCGGAATCCGAAAAAAATGCAAAATATTAAAAAACGTTTAAAACGAGTTTAAATACGATAAAACTACAATAATAAATTATGTCTTCCAATTCCACCTATGCTTTGAGAAAGAAAAATCTAAAAATTATATTCAAAAGCCAAATCTAACGGAAATCGGCAGGATGATCAATTGTTTACTTATGTCATTTAACACGAAAGCAGGTGGCACTTAATAAGAATACTTATACAACGTTGATAAAGTATATTATTATTATTAAAAATTATCGGCAGAGGCCATATGCTTCATTTTGCATCAAAAAGTGCAGCTACGCTAAAATGGTCGCCTCGCCAGTCAAAATACACAAAAAAAGTTTTTGAAAAGGTTTTGAAAGTGAGTCACGCGGGGGGAACCGCCCAAATTCCGCCGATTCATTGAGGCGTGCTGCACCACCGCCCCGAGTTCGCTAACCAAAGAGCCACCCAGATTTTTCATTGCCCCCCGAAAAGGGGGGGGGGGGGGTAGACCAAAGCCGGGCTGATCGCGAATTGGGTCACTGGTTAGCGCCAAAACACGAATATACGGTATATGGTTGGGCCATGAGCTGGTCATAAAACGATTTTTCGGCGAATATACAAAGTGAGTTTTGCCGGTCCGCGATACGCACCGCATTCCGCTGACGGACGCGCAAAATGGTAATCCATTACGTAATGAAAATGCCTAAATGCCTCTTATGTCCTAAAAATTGGCCATGTTGAACTGTTTGTTAACTGTTTTAGTCAGACCCCGACTAAAATATATTCATAAAAGCACGTGATTTTCCAGCCACGGGACTTTGGCGGAGCTTTGCCATCCCGAATGTGACGGCGATAAGGACGGGACGAAAAATTGGTCGACACGCCCGGCAGTGACAACGGCACAAATCCTAGGGACACGTGTCAAGAGGAATCAGGTGGAATGTTGCAGAGTTGGGATTGGGAAAGCTAAAAAATGACGTTTAGGCTAGTGGCAAAAAATGACGATTCCACTCCGTTTCTATTTCTCATTCAAAAGAACCTAGATGGATTACGCTAGTAAATATAAACAGCGACCTATCACCTTTGAAATAAACAAATAAAATTTGGAATTAGGATTTTTAAAAATACTTTAGCTCGGATTTTAGCGGATTGTAAAAATACCTCGGATCGATTATGCTAGTAAAATAAAAAAATCGTGAGCGGGGGCAACGAGCAGCAGTTCTTTGTGCAAGACCTCAGGTGGCCTACTAGCAGCGACTCCTTCGGAGAAAACTAAATGAATTCCCCCATTGCCTCCCCCACGTATTCGATCCAGCTGACGCAACGCAGAGCGAGCGCCCCCGAAAAAATGTTTTGCCGCTCCGGCGCGACCGGCTGAGCTGGCAGCCGGCGAGGAGGACGAAGAGGAGAACGAGGAGAATCTTCTGCTTTCGTGGCAAAAAGCGGAAAATAGGGGCTTTTCCGGGAATCGGGGAATGTGTAGGGTAGTACGGTATCCGCGAGTTTTTACTTTTCGCGGCGACCATCTGTCACTCGGCTGGCGGCTCTTCCGGGAAGCATTTACAACCCACGAGGGAATTCCGTAATCAGGGGTGAAGTGTTTGTTGATAAAGTGAAAGTGAAGGCTCAAGGATCGAGGGGTTTGGCTTGGTTTAGGCTTAGGCTTAGGCTTAGGCATAAGCTCAAGCTTCTTAGCTTAGGCTTAGACTTGGCTTCGGCTTAGGCTTAGGCTTCACTTTCATCTTAACCGAATTTTTACCAAAACGAACTTGGCCAGTAAGACACTCTCGAAATTCCCGCTCCGTAAATTCACGTTCCTTCGTCTAAACATGTAACTATCGAATGCTGAAAATAGCCCTCAGACAGATCCGAAGGGTGTGGCTAATTTGCAGTGATCCATTCCGTGCCGTTCCGTTCCGATTTCCACCCGATCTGCCCAACAACTATTCGCCAAAAACCGTGGTTAGGTCTATGTCTCTCATGGGTCGTGGTCCCGACTGTTCCCGCCACGGTTCTGCCGTTAAATAACCCGCTTAACCAATTTGCATATGGACGTCAATGGGCACGTGATGGTTCTGTGATTCGTAGCCTTTATTCGGAGTTATTTTTGGTACTGCGCGGAGCGAATGGAGCAAAGTGGATGATGTCTTCTAGCATGCATCTGACCTGAAAAATAGGAAATAGACCCTCAAAACTTTTATAATAGCTTTTTACTAGTTGCGCTAACCTTCTCGGCAACGGTTTCCTTCCTCTTCTTTGCCAGCTCGGGCTCCACTTCGAGGTTGGCCGAGGCGACGATTGGATTGAGGGGAGGCATGTAGAGAAGCGTCTCCATTGCATACATTTGTTTATAGGAATCGACCAACTAAACGTTGAAATTAGATCGGTTCCTGATTTAAGGGAAAGCCTAAGCCCAAGCCTCAGCGTGAGTCTAAGCTCAAATTTATTATTTCAACCGCCAAATTATCCCACCTGAGCCTCGGTATACGGTAATGGGAGGCCTCGCATCTCCACGCGAAGATAGTCGTGGAACCTGCAAGGTATGGAGGGTTAAGCCGAGAGCTAAGCTAAGCCGAGTCTAAGCCAAAGTCATGCCTAATCTAACAAGGAGTGCCTTTTTTGAGTCATCGGCAAAACCTGACGAGACCTAGCTCATTCGATAGAGAATTAAATTCTGAGCAAGACTCCTTTGTCCTTTTTTGCAGAATGGCTATCCCTGATTTTATAAAATTAAAATACTAGTGGCCGTCTCTTACCATGAGTGCCTTTCGAGCAAAAAGAGAGGCTTTGGGGCGCAGTTTTAAAATTTTATAAAATCAGGGATAGCCATTCTGCAAAAAAAGACAACGGAGTCTTGCTCAGAATTTAATTCTCTATCGAATGAGCCAGATCTCGTCAGGTTTTGCCGATGACTCAAAAAAAGCACTCCTTGTAAGCCTAAACTACGTAAAAATAGGCTAATCATAAGCTAAGCCAATACAACCAACTTGTTCAAGTATCGCTCCCAATTCTGCCGTCGATGTGCTCCACTCATACAGGTATTCAAAAACCGAATCAAATCGGTGGCAGGGCACCCATGGCGCGTCATCTGAAACTCAGAGAATTACATAAGTTACTGGATTCCCCACCTGCCAATCAAGGACTGCCCTCAATTTATCATGATCGTCGGCATCCCAAAGAATGTTCGTGCTCCACACGTCTCCATGCACTAATGATTGGCTGATGCCTGAAAACTCTTGCTCTGAACCCGAAACCTGACGTGTTGCTCGCTAAAGGTCTCAAGAATGCCGAAAATCGATCCCTGCGAATGGCTAGGTCTAGACGAATCATGCCAAAATTCGATCATACTTGAAACTTGCAAGCACCTTTAAATTCACAGGCAATCATTTTCGAAAATCAGATTGGAAAAATTTAGAAAACCTAACTGACGAAAAATTGATTTTGAAAATGGCTTTTCGGAAAAGTAGCTGTAAAAAGCAATTGTCCGTGTTCTATGTAAGGGAAAATCTTTAAAGGCAACTCACCCAAAAATGCGCAGATCCTCTCCTCAACCCTCAAATCGTAGAAGTCATCCGAGCTGGCCAATGCCTTCTCAACCAACGGTTCCAGCTCCTGCCCAAAATAAGCGGGCATCTTCCGCAGCAACTCGGCCATTTCCTAAATGATGCCCCGATGATTGAAGCCACTTGAGGACGGACTACTCGGGGGAAACATTCATCGTAGAGCACGTCGAGGAGCCGCAGATTGAGACCGGGTTGAGACGAGGAATTGTTCAGATAGCCAAAGGCCTGCGTTTGAGCGATTGCGTGCAGCATCTAGAATTTTTGACGGTCGGTAAATCCAACAATTTGATGTCATTTGGAGCGAAACGTACCAAATCCTCACCACCGTTAGATGAAAAGGCACGATTTACCTGATCAATTTGTTTTTCGTTGAAATTGTCCCAGACGTGGAAGGAATGCGTGTTTTGTAGACATTCAAAGACGAGGTATTCATGGTTTCCCTGAAAATAAAAGTTGAACAAAGCCTAGGCCTAAGGCTAACCTAAGCCTAACCTAAGCCTAAGCCTAAGCCTAGTAACACTCAAACATACCTCAAACCTAGCCGCGTAGTAAAAATGCGGAATGGGCGGCAAACTGGTCTCGGTGTGTTCGTGGACACGGTAGAATTCGTAGAAGGCCCGCTCCGCTTCGAATAGCTGGAAATTCGTGCGTAGACCAAAGCAGCGAATCGGACAGTCTCCTATCTAGCTAATCTATCTACTACATCTAACTCTACAACTATCATAGCTAAATACAAACTACGAAAACGATTCGAAACTCACATTGGGCACAATTTTTCGCTGAAAAAGATTGTTGCGTTTGACAACAGAAGCATTCAGTAGACTTACGGCCTTCAGAAGCGGCTCCATTTTTTCGGGAGGTGTTGGCACGTCTTCTGGCAGTCCTTCGTGGGCTTTTGAGATGGGTACTTTTAGGACGACCTAAAGTTTTTGGGGATGGTTCGGTTTCGCGCTTCCTGGTGCCTTTAGTCTTGAACTTACCCTTTTGGGAAGCTTTGGGATAGGAGGGAACCAATTGAGATCGATGAGGACCACTTGGGAGAGAAAACCCTAAAAACAATTACAGCTCAAGGATCCGAACCAACGACAGATCCTGGAGCCTTCGACGCGAAAGATGTTTTGCGGCATTTTGAGTCGGTCATTAGCACTTTTTGGAGATGGGTCTGAACATGATGTTGAATTGATAGTGATTTAAGGTTCTTTTGCACTACCGGGGGATATCAGTGGGTGCAACTTTTGCAACTACTATCGATTTTTTTAAACTAAATAGAATTTTTCTACCGCATTTTTCACTATTGCGCTACGTGAAAACTTTACAAAATCGTCTTAAAGACAAAAACATATGCATAAACAGCCGAAAATACACGGTTGTTTTTTAGAAAAATTGTAAACTTTCGACCAGATTTTGGATTTTCTAAGGATTACTTGACGGCCTTTCCACCTGAAATATGGCTAAATTTTACGAGAAAAACCATTAATATACTCTCTGTGATCTTTCCAACGAGTCACCTCCATATCCGACCTTATATAATTTGGTCGCGTATCTTTGTCTGTGTGTGTGTGCGGAGGTCAGTTTCGAGGCCCGATTTGAGGGCCTTCCCGTGGCCCAAATGCCCTAATTCTCCGTCGCCCGGGGGAATCGGCCCTCCTCTTTCCGATGGCGTTTTCGGAATTCCGATAAAATACAAGTTTACAAAGTTAAAGCCGGTGTGATTCATTTTTGGGGGTCTGGGAGGCTAATTTGCATAATGTGAAAAAAATACAAATTTCCTGATTCTTGCAAGTTGCACTTGCGAGTGTGGTCGGGGCAGGGGAAGGGTCCGAAGGACCCCAGCTATCGGAAAGTCAAAGTTCTCATGCAAAGGTCGCATTCCAGCGCCCAAGGCCCGCGAAGCGGGTTTTGGGCGCTGGTCTCCCCAATAATCTCGGCTAATTTACCTGCAAATCGGCCCACTGCACGCGAGTGTCCAGAATTTCGAGCGGATGTTCGTGGCCATGACAATCCTCCATAATGTTCGAAGGCAGAAACGCGTCTTAGCCGTAGAATACCCCGGCAATGATCAAAGTATCTAAGTAAATTTTCAAATAAGGGCGGCAAAGGGGGCCAGACGATGGGGCACAAAGCGGCTTCTTTATCTTATCACATAAAGACCCCTCTAGAGAGGGAAGAGGGGAAAGGGCAAAAAAGGGAAATCAGGGGCTCAGATTGGCACTCATCGCATCGCCTCCGGATATTCTTGAAGTTTATGACAATTCGGTGGTCACTGTCTTTAGCCTGGTCATCGGCATCCCGTAATGATCTGTGCTGGTTTGATTGTACGAGAATTATCCGCCAAAAACCTCTAAAATTCAGCTTTCCATTGGTTTGAAGGGATTATGTTTCTAGGCTTAGATTTAGGCTTAGCTTTCGGGCTTGGGTTTGGCCTCTAGGTTTCACCTGGATTCGGCTTCGATTTGAGATTAGGTCAGTCATGGGATTCGGCTTAGGCTATGGCTTATTTTCGGGGCTTAAGCTTGGAATTAAGCATAGGCTTAGGCTTAGGCTTGGCCTCGGCTAGGCTTCGGCTTAAGATTAGGGTTAGGTAAAGGTATCGGATGCTTCCTCAAGCCTCACTGCTAGTCGGCCTTTTCCTAAAGTGATCTCTGCTAGCCTGCCCTCCATTGTTATTGGCAATATTTTGAAGAACCTTCCGTAAACAATACCTTTGTGCTGTTTATCAAGGCCAATGTAGACAGTGCCAAACTGTCAGCACCAGATTAAAGGATTGTAATTTTTGCCGTTTATGTGGTTCTATTGTCTCGCAACTTTTTGAGGAATAATTTATTATCGCATCGATCAAAAACGGAAAACACACAAGACGAAAAGAATGGACGACACATTGAAAAACGAGGAAGAAAACAAAGGAAAAAATTAGTGATGGTATGAAGGCCTGGATGGGGAGCGGAGGTTTCGAAGAGGAAAAAGGAAAAACAACCTCTAAGACCCTAGCGCAACCTTGAAAACCAAAGCATGATCTTCGGGGGCTACAGTAGGCTAGACGCGTTTTCCGGAAAGGGGCCGTTGCGTTGAGCTGGTAGATGCTCAATAGTCGAGAGACGGCGGTAAGGGGGAGAAAAGGGAATTCCAAGCTTTAAAGAGACCGGAAAGATAAAAAATTTTTGCCTTGCCGGCCCCTAAAAACCTCGGGATTCCAAAAAGGACGGCAACCGGTTATCGTGGAACATAGAAGTCTTTGTCAAATTATCGGCACCACCTACGTTATTCTGCCACAACATTTACGTGTGCATAGAATTGAAGCAGATGAGAAGGGAAGGAGCAGCAGCTACAGTAGACCTATCGGAAGAGCTGGGGGGTTATTATGCGTTATTTAGTGGAAATGGAGAGGAGGAGGAGTAGATGGAGGAGTCGAAGAAAGACATATCCTATCTTGTAGACACAAATATATAAAAAAAAATATATCAAAAACGATCAAATTCGGGGGGATAAGGCAATCGATTAGGGGGATGGGGGACCGGGGTGTGGAGGGGAATCTGACAATTTTTTGGAGCTGTTTTAAGGGTTACGGTAGGTGAGGGGTATTGTATATAGATTTTAGGGTTTTGTATCTACCAGAAAAATTACAGACCATTTGAATGTATTACAACGGAATTATAGAGCTTTGTGGATATCACTAAGTAAAATTTTCGATTTTTTAGATAGTCTTGTGTTAAGTTCTGCTAAAAATTGACCCCACTACCGTAACCCAGCTCCAAAACTCGTCAGCTCCTCCCATTGCCACACACCACAGCCCCACCCCGGGCACCGGGCGGGTGGAGTTACACCAAGTTTCGAGCGGTTTTCTCCTCGAAAAACGGCTGACGCGAATCCAGAAGTATGGGCGGGGAATAGAGAGAGAGAGAGAGAGAGAGAGAGAGAGAGAGAGAGAGAGAGAGTGTGAGAGAGATAGATGGGATGGGGCGTACCTTCCCGGTATGTACACGTCACAAAACAGCCGGTCTTTAAAGGGGCGTTGAACTGAAAAAATGATGGCGAAGAGAAGGGCGTGGGGATCATCCGCCATCAAAAGTGAGCAATTCGGGTATTTGGGGGATGGGCAATGTCGTGCAAATACATAGAGCCTTGTTCTCCGGGGGGTTTGATGGGTAAATGCTTTAAAGGGATCGGTACTATTGACTTGGGCTTAGGCTTAAGCTTAGGTTAGGCTTAGGCTTAGGCTTACGCTTAGGCTTAGGCCAGGCTTAGGCTTACGCTACGCGTAGGCTTCACATATACATTAGATTCGAACTGAACCATCCACACATTCGTTTAATCGGATGCAACGCGAATGGTTAGACACCAGATTGGACCGATCCCTTTCGAAGCTAATTTGGCCCAGTTGTCCCCCCCGGAGCTCAGAGGGCCCTACAGAAGACGAGAGAGCAAGAGGGAGAGCAAGTGTTTGATTTTGATTTGTATCCACCGGAGAATTAGACGAACTTCATGGCCGTCGTGTCCTTGGCCGGATCCTTGGCCGCTGACACGCGCACACTACCCGCTCCTGAAATGGCTACATGCCCGGGGGGTATGGGACGGACAATAGGACGTTCCGGGGAGCCCAAAAATCGAGCTATTAATGCGCAAAAACGTCTACGTGTGCTCAGTGAGGTATGTTAAATTCTATAACCAATTACTAGGTGTGAACTAACGAAAATACGAAATTTATAGTTATACCCTGGTCTAGCTAATGGATGTAGTGAGGGGTGAATCCTCAAAGATCTCTGCTAGCCTACCCGCTAGAGGTTTTTATGAAGCCGAGCTATTTTTTTGCGGCTTTATGTAGAAAGGAGGTGGACTAATTGTAGTTACTACTACTTAGACTTAGGCTATTATAGGCTTAGCTGGCTTAGGCTAGCTTGCTTAGGCTTAGGCTTAGGCTTAAGCTTACAAGGGAAGTGCACGACCGGCCCATGAGAAATCGACACGAGACATAGTGGATCTGATAAAATCGGACAGGGGGATTCCGAATCTGTAATCAGAATTTGCTAAATAAAACGGAGAAAAAAGTTATGAAGCTTCAAAGTTGGCAAAATCGCCAAAAACCGTACCTTTAAGGGCCCGTAAAAACCGGGGGAACGGAATTGAGGAGAAAAGAATTAGTGCATCTTGTTCAGCAGAAAAAGCGCTTTCGAATGAGCTGTAATACGTAGCATTTGCAAACAATTCACTGAAAAAGTTTTTTTGGATTCACGGGCAAGGGTGTGGCCTGTCAAATTCATAGAAGAGATTTTCGCGAAATCATCGTAAACTTGAAGTAAGATAGCTCATTCGAAAGCGCTTTTTCTGCTGAACAAGATGCACTAATGGATTGTGGTAAATTTCCAATCCCTGGGCCTTTACAGGCCCATAAAAGTCCGATTTTGGGCGATTTTGCCAACTTTGAAGCTTCATAACTTTTTTCTCCGTTTTATTTAGCAAATTCTGATTACAGATTCGGAATCCCCGTGTCCGATTCTATCAGATCCACTATGTCTCGTGTCAATTTCTCGTGGGCCGGTCGTGCACTTCCCTTGTTAGGCTTAAGCTTAGGCTTAGGCTAGACGTAGGCTAGGCTCGGGCTTAGGCTTAGGCCTAATAATCCCCCACATAAACAAACACCCCAGGCTGTTAATGAACCTCATAGCCAAACTATATAACAATTTTCATAACCAAATTACACCCCGATTTTTTGAGGACGAAAACGCACGTTTCTGCTGCTCCAACTCCTTGGCGATCTTCAACCTGCGGTAGGAGGCCCGTAGACGATCAGCCGTCGACGTCGTCAGGGATGAGGGATGGTTGTCCTCAGTAGACGATTGGAACGCCTTCACCACTCGCATCTGAACAACTCGACACGGTCACGCTGTTGAAAAATAAACGGGGAAGGATGAGAGACCCGGGGGGCTATAGGGTGTGTTTTGGACTAGACGATAGACACGAGAGCATGCTGTTGGGGGGATGGGGTGGGATGGGTGGATTCCGAGTACTTTTTTGTGCAAATTACCATTTAGAGGTAAACGAAAAAATTGGCGCTTAAATGATCTACATTTTTATCGTTTTTGGCCAAAAATTTGCCGGGTTTTGTTTTTGGCAAGCAAGAGAGTTATCGAAATCCATTAAAAATTTTCGAAAAATGTTTTTCGAAAGTCGTAGTTTCGACAAATTCGTGTTCAATTAACGATTGCAAACGGCCACTCGGATTTTTAGAGATTCAAATTTTTGAAAACAATTTTTTTTGGAAAACCGAATTTTTAAAACAAGCCATAAAAACTTAAACTTTTCGTTTTTTTTACCCGAAATCCACCAATCCCATCGAATTCACACATCACTCCACACCACTAATATTGATCGAGCTTTTTTCAAAACTTGCAAAACTTTTCAAAGCGTTTTTCGGCTTGATCAAACTCGACGAGACATGCATGCGTTGTGTCGCGAGAAACACGCCGAATTGCTCGTTTTGTCGATGGTTTTTGTCGAGATTTTGAGGGGTGGGAGGGAGGGGAGAAAAGCCATCGAAAGAGACCCGGAAATTGAAGTAGCATAAATATATAGAGGGAAAAGGAAGGGGGGCAAGAAGCTGCGGGGGGATGGGGGGAGGGGAGGAAGGCATTGCTTTGCGAAAGGCAGAGGTTGGGGGAGGGTTTCGGCATGGATGGGCCACAAGGGGCATTTAGAGGTAATATGTCCTAGTTGAAGTATTTATACTAAACCGAAAGTATGGTTATGGAAAGCTAGTTTTCAGGCAATTAAAAATTCTACGCAAGGCGATAATCCAGGTATTTCTGATTTTTGAGATTCGTATAACGCGGATTTGATTTTTATAGTTTTCGAAAGCTCTCAAAAAGGCGAAAAGCCAGCATGTTTGGTGTTCTTAGATTTGTTCCATTTTTTCTATGAAATGTACGTTTTTTTTTTGTCTAAAAAACGGCTATTCAAAATCGTATAAATTGACACTTTTCCTGATTTCCGGCTATAAAAAGCGGGAATAGAAATACGTAATCCAAAAAATGACAAACACTAGTTTTCTCGGCTTTTCGAGAGCTCTACATAGCAAAATCGTCAAAATCGAACAAATCTACGCCCCGGTAGAAGATGTCCTTTTTGACCGTTAAACCCGTGACCCCTCTATCCCAAATGGCCCATCCACAGCGAACCAATGACTCTAGTGTTGCGCGGAAGCGGCTGCAGCAGCAGCAGCAGCCGCCGCTGCAGCTTGATGCTGCTGCATGGCCTGGGGGAAATGCTGTGATATATCGGCAATAGAAGCACGTGGAGCGGATACGGGGCGCGCCATCATCTCGGACATTCGTCGCACCTGCGTCTGAAGTCTCGTCAGTCCGAGCAGCCACAGCAATTGACCCGGGCGTCTTGCCCCGGAACTGTCGATCGATCCACCGGCACCCGTCTTTTGCACACCGATCTGTTGGGCCACCTGCAATATCACCGCTGCCGGGGGGAATGCACCCGAAATTTTGAAAGTTTTTGCTTGGTTTTTTTTGCAATGAAATGGAATGGAGGATGGTTTGGGGGATGGAGTGGGTTTTTAGGGGTGGTTTATTTGGAGCTTTGCTATTAGGGTAAATATCAAAATATAGGGTATCGATCGAATTCTAATTTCTAAAAATGGTGTAAATTTTTTTGATAGTTTTTACAAATAGAGAAATTTTACTAAAAACTTTATTAAAAATACTATTCTGAAAAATATTACCCTGCGGTTAAACCCAGCCCCCCCCCCGAAAATACATAAGTACCGGCTAGCTTAGGATCACCTAATTCGTAGGTAATCTTGTGAAAAATTATGTTTAGAACCCTCTATTTTCTTCAAGCCAAATCCTTAAAATCCATTGTTATAAAAAATCAGAATTTGAAAACTGTAGGAACGTATTTTGACGGATCGACAATCGGGTCGATTCTTGCGCCTCCTATTCCCTTTAATGCGCGCCTTTACAGCTTACACCCCCAAAAACAACACTCCATCCAATATCACCCATCCATCAATCCATATCCATCCAATCCAATCCATTCCAAATAATCGCAAGCCAGAAATAGAGCCGTGAGAGAGGATGCGGAAATAATTATTAGCATTGGAAAAAGGGGTGGAACGCGTCGAATATCAAGTCAATTTTCGTTAGAGATGCCAGAAATTTTAGGATTGTTGGTTTTAAAGGGATAGGCTGCTTGGGGGGTAAGGAAATCGGGGGAATTCCGCATCCACTCGCCACTTTTAAACATATTTCAATAAAATAGCGCAATTCATGTCGAAAATACGGTCTGTCGGTAATACAGTATTTCATATGCCGAAAATGAGAATAACGCCATTTCATGTCGAAATTTCATATTTTCGAAAAATAATAATGCCGAAATTTCCATATATCTGGTTTACTATGCACAAATCTCCCGGAAACGGAAAATTCTGACGAATTTCGACATTGGAATTCTCGATTTTCTAGATTATTAATTTCGATATTTTGAGATTTCGACATTAGAAATGCCGGTATTATCAATTTCGACATTTTTTGACATTCTAAATTCTCGATTTTACCAAATTTAGATCTTATCCATATCCGAGAATGATTCTTTGCAGAAAATAAGCCATAAAAATGACATACGTTGGTCGGAATGTCGTACTCTCCGGTCAATAATATCGACGTCGGCTGCACCTCACCCCGGCCGAATGACAGAGATTTCGGAAGGATCGACGCGGGGATGCTGGAGATCACCTGGCCCCACAGCAACGAACCAAGACCGCATGCCACGCAGACGGCCCACTGAAACGTTCCGGGATTAAAGGGACTGGCAAGGTTTTGGTTGGCTAGGGATTGTCTGTGGATTTGGCGGTACCCGCGGCACGCAATGCAACGGTCCGCCCGCGACACGCAACGCGACACAGAGTCCGTATTTCCATTGCGTAATTCATTGCACCCTCTGCACCTCGGTCAGACCGAGTTGCGCTACGTTGCCAGATGAAGTCCTACCCCTGCCTTGCCCGTTCATATCGTACTAAAACCCATAGCTGACCTGGACGAAGTCGAGGGGTGCCGTGGAGAACCAATGGCCACCATACTGTACGATGAGCACCTGCGAGATGAGGGTCGTGATCCAGATGACGCAGAAGATCGGGTTCGTGAATAGACCCTAGAACGAGGACGAGGTGCCGATTTGAAGCTGGACACCACCTTGAAGACGTTGCGCTCGCCGTGGATCTTCCGGGAGTTGATCTCATTGCACAGCGTCATCAAGACGAACGAGTTGAAGATGATGGTGAAGTGTTCTATATGGGGAGTAAATGTGAATAATAGAAAAAAACTGACCGCTCGGCCTGGAGTTGAGCCCGGCTTCCCGTCCATCCGGGGTGTGGGGGATGAAATCAGGGGCTGAACGGAAGGGGAATTTAGAAAAATTGTCGACCTCTCACCCCAGAACATCAACACGAAGAGCACCGCCAGCTGATAGACGGCGTGCCCGACAATGTTCTTGACCATGGTGCGGGAGATGAGACTCTTCGTCCTTCCGTACGGTTTCCTCTCCAACAAATCTTCTGTCGGCATTTCGGTGGCCAACGCCAGCGACGCGAGCGTGTCCATGATGAGGTTCACCCACAGCATTTGGACGGCCTGAATTTGGGACTGTTAATGCCATACATCTTCCATACCTTCAATGGAGAATCCTTAATCAGACACGCTCCAGCAAAGGCAATCGTCACGGCGACAACGTTCACCGTCAATTGGAATTGGAGGAACTTGGCGATCGAGTCGTAGACGTTACGTCCCCACATTACGGCCTAAAAAATGGGCATTCTACCGTATCCCTTCAGCCATACCTTGACGATAGATGTAAAATTATCGTCAGTGAGGATGATATCTGATGCCTCTTTGGCCACATCCGTTCCTGCAATTCCCATCGCGAAACCGACATCGGCTTTTTTCAGAGCCGGCGCATCGTTTGTACCATCACCCGTAACGGCCACCACCTAGAAGGAAATGTTTGAGCGTCTTGTTAATAATTGGATACCTCTCGGTTCTTCGTGTTCTTCGAGTCGATGATTCCCTTGACGAGAACGTACTTATCGGATGGCTGTGCCCTAGCCAGTACCCTCAATCGGGGCCAAATCGCGTCGAGCTTCGCCTGGTCCACTTTTCCGTTTTCATCCCTGATGCGCGCGTTGAACTCCTTGCCCTCGAGGGCCAGGAAGTCGGCGCCCGGCTTGAGGATGCCGCATGATGTGGCGATAGAACGGGCAGTGTTGATGTTGTCTCCGGTGACCATACGGACTGTGATGCCGGCTTTTTGGCATTTTTCGATGGCGGCGGGCACCTGGAGAGAGATATAGAGGTTGGCGGGCCTGGCCGAGGCTTAGGCTAGGCTTAAGCATCGGCATAGGCTTAAGCTTCGGAATCACTTGGGCTTACGCTTAGGCTAGGCTTCGGCTTAGACTTACAACTCAGACTCACCTCCGGTCTAACTGGATCCTGAATACCCATGATGCCAATAGCAGTCATTCCTCCCCTGACAGTCTCCTCATCTTCCCAGTTGACCTCACCCGAATATTCGACCTGTAACGAATTCACCATGTTCATCTCCACTTCCTCCCCTCACCTCGTTCTCCTCCTTCTTCTCCCCCGACACCACATAGTCCTTGTAGGCCAATCCGATCGTTCGCAGTCCATCCGAAGCCATGGGTTCAATGACACGCTGTGTCAGATCGGCCAGCCCGGCCTCGTCGAACGACTCGATCTTGCCGCCTCGACCCAAGATGTATGAGCATCTGGAATTGAGATCGTTAATGCTGAAAGTCTACCTACCGCGACAAGATGATCTCCGAGGCTCCCTTGGCAAATACACGATATCGCCCGTTCGGCAACGCGATGACGGTCATCATCGATTTGCGGGACGAGTTGAAGGTGTACACCTTGAAGAGCGTTTCCTCTGGGTGCAGCTTCCGGATATCATCATAGTTCTTGCCGAGGTCGAGGACGAAGCCGAGGAGTCCGCATTCGGTCTTGTTGCCGATCTAATTTTAAGTTTATTGTTGCGTACTCTCTCTCTCTCTCACCTGTTCCCTTGGTGCTCCTGGCTGCTTCCCTTCGACAACTTGTGAGTTGAAACCGCTATTGATTGAGATGCCATCAACAATCATTGAAGCTGTCCTCTCATCTAGTTGATCGTATTTCGGGAGCTGATTGTTTTTGTAGAACTCGTCTGAAAGTTCGCTTTAAAACTTGATTTCTCGACGCTCCATACCATTGATGAAAGCCTGGACAGCCGTCATCCGGTTCGTCGTCAGTGTGCCCGTCTTATCCGAGCAGATGGCCGTCGCGTTACCCATCGTCTCGCACGCGTCCAAGTGCCGCACAAGGTTGTTGTCTTTCATCATCTAGAAACAGCACTTGAATGAACCACCTTCCTGTCGCACCTTCTTGACCGAGTAGGTCAATGCGAGTGTGATGGCAAGCGGAAGTCCTTCTGGGACAGCTATCACCAGCACCGTCACACCGATAATGATGTGATTGACGAAATATGAGAGGTCTGTCGGCTCGAATGCCTTCTTGGCCATCACATAATTCTCGAAGCAGAACCGCGCCACCAACATCAACACGGTGGCCGCCGCCACGATTGAGCCGATGTAACCGATCTGAAAAGGGGATTGGGAAGTCGAGAATGTTTTTTGGTAAATGTTGGACTTGCTGGAGAAACAGCGCAACCTTTTCAACTCACCTGAATGGCTAACGAAGAGAGTTTTCCCTGAAGGACGGACTTGGTGACCTTCCCAGCATCTTCCTCATCCACAATGACTGGTTTCCCCTCTTTCGGGGCACCATTCGCCACCAGAACACCGTTGCCTAAGCCTTCTATATACAATCCAATACTATGGACACACCATTGATAGCCTCGGGTTCTTTTGACGGCGCTTTTTTCTCCTCTTTGTCCTGTTTCACGGCTCCGAGCAACGACATGATGATGCCCGTTTGGGAGTTGACGCCAACCGCCGTCACGATGAAACGGCCAGAACCCTGGAAATGGAAAATTTTGGTTTGCTTGTATGATTTTTCTATCACATTTTTTAGTCGTAAGTAAGACTTTTAGGCTAATTTTTCATTCTCTACAAGTAGATTTAGCTAAAAAGTAATGTTTTCACTAAATACCTCCATCGCATGGGTTCCGGATAGAAGAATGGGATCATGATCCACGCTCTTCTTGATCAGATCCGATTCTCCGGTCAAAGACGACTCATCGAGCTTCAGATCGTTTGATTGGATGAGAATCCCGTCGGCGGGCAGCAGATCGCCTAAAGGTATCGATTTTAAGCGATGCTTCCCGGTAATATACCATATTTAACGCGAGCCACATCACCGACCACCAGATCGTTGACGATAATGTCAATTGGTTGACCATCGCGAATTACAGAGAATTTGTGTTCGGTTTCAATCTTGGCCTGCAGCCCTGAAATAGAAGGGGTTAGAGGACTCATAAAGAGGTCGTGCTTCAGGAAACCCCCAACTTTGACATACCTCTGAACTGCTTCTCCTTGCTCCAATCGTTCAATGCCGTCACCATGACGACGACAACGACGGCGATCAGGATAGCCGCTCCCTCGATCCAGCCGGCTTCTTGTTCCGAGCTGTCCGTGTCTAAAAGTTGGCTTAGGTTTGGGCTTGGGCTTCGGCTTGGAGTTAGGCTTAGGCTAGGCTGATAATTGGGCTTAGGCTTCGCATAGGTGTGGGCTTGGAATTGGGCTTAGGAGCAGTTTTGGCTTAGGATTAGGTTTAGGCTTAGGCCTAGGGTGGCTACGGCTTAAGGTTAAGCTTAGGCTTAGGCTCAGGCATAACCTTAGGTTGAGGCTTAGGCTTAGGCTAGGCTGATAACTGGGCTGAGGCTTCGCATAGGTGTGGGCTTGGAATTGGGCTCAGGAGAAGCTTTGGCTTAGGTTTAGGTTTAGGCTTCGGTTTAGGGCGGCTTCTGCTTAGGTTTAAGCTTAGGCTCAGGCATAAGCTTAAGCTTAGGCTTAGGTTGAGGCTCAGGCTTAGGTTCAGACTTATGCTTCAGCTTAGGCTTAGGCTTATTTATCAAAACCCAAGCACACACTCACTTTTTGTGGGAGGTTTGTAGAAAGAGAGGCCGAGCGATATAATGGCTGCCCCGAGAAGAATAACGAGGGTGATGTCCTGAAATTTTGTGTGTTGGCATGATTATGTCAAAAAAGACGAACCTGGAGCGCTTCCCATGCTAACCGCAAGAAGCTTTTTGACGGGGCGGGCGGGATTTCGTTTTTGCCGAATACTTTTCTCCGCTTTTCGAGCTCCTTTGGGCTGCTGGGGAGTCCGTTGACCGGGTCGGTCTTCAGCTTCTGGCACAGGCCTTCGACGCCCCCGTAGTGGCGCTCAACCTAAATTTCATTTTGTTTGGGGAATCGGGCGGCGATTTTTTAATTTTTTTTCCCTAAATTTGGGTACACAGGAATACACCAAACTACGTTTTCATCAAAATTTCGATTACTGTATCTAGGCGCATAACGTAGCGACGTACAGTAGCATATCCAGAAAACTGACCTGCTCGAGGGCCTCGGCTCCGCGGCACTCCATGAGGCCGCGTAGCTCGGATACTGTGCACCCGTACTCATCGCTCTCTGACATCGCATAGATCGACCCTGAAATGGATTTGAGGTGGATCTGGATGAACAACGGGTTCGAGGAGGACAACGGAAAGTGACGACGACGACGGACAACAGACAACGGGTAACAAAACGTGCAAATGTGGAAGAGGAATTTAGGAGTGGAGAAAATTGAAAAGGAGCGGTAGTTGTGTTAACGTTTGGCTAGATGAGTTTCGGTATCTTGTAGTTTTTGGAATAATTCGGAAAAATCGGAAGCGGAAACTTTCGAATAATTGAATTGTGGATAAATGGGAGTGCATACCGAATAATGGTTGATCATTATGCAAAATGAAAGCGAGAGAGAGAGAGCAAGAGAGAGAGAAAGAGAGAAAGAGAAAGAGAGCTAGTGAAAAAGAGGTTTCTCGAAGCAATAAAGTCTCATAGCCGGCAGCCAGCCGCAGCCGGGGTCTAGATAATAGGCCGCGGGCCGGTCTTCCGGTTCCCTGATGCTTGGAGGGTAAGTGTGCAGATCGCATAGCCCTCGGCGAAAATACTACATTTACTTTTTTTTCTGGGCCTTGCTCTTGCTATCTCTCTCGCTCGCTCTCTTTCCGCTCTCTTTTTCTCTTTCCCTCCCTCCCTCTCTCTTTCTCTCTCGCTCTCTCTCTCTCTTTCTCTCTCGCTCTCTCTCTCTCCCTCTCTCGCCCTCTCTGCACGGAAATCGTGAACAAAATCCTGGACAACCCTCGAAAAAAGTGCCTGTTCTTGGCATTGAGGAAGCGGGATGCCTAGCGTTTTTCGTTAGTACCTCAAAATCCAAAATCCCCATGAAATTATAGAAATCCGCGCCGCTCGGCTAAAAACGTCAAAATTACCCAATCATACTTTCAGAATGAAGCTTGAGCTTTAAAGGCGATTTTCCGGGAAAGTGGCTGAAAGTAGGCTGAGAAATCCGTCGCTATACTCGTTACCATGTTCGTAAATGGATTGAGGGTCGAGTAAAAGCCGTGGGAATATCTCCCACTTTCAGTGAGGGTATTTTGACGCGTGATCAACAATGGCATGAGGAAAGGAGTAGTAGGAAGAAAAGAGAAAAATACATAAATAGAAGCCAGAGAACACGATCGATTAATGGCAATTATCATGGCGTAATCGATTAAGATACTATAGTATAGATATTGCATTAAAAATTATTAGTCGGCTGAAAAAATACTCCCCGCTAACAGTCCAGCGCCCAAAAAATCAATCCCGACCGAAATCTCGGGCGATTCCATTATGCAATGGAAAAACGTACAGGCATGTTGCATGTCTCGGCCGAGTTAAAATCTATAGAGAATCCATTGCCAACAAAATCTCGAAATTAATGCCTTGCCGGTCCCTTTAAAGCCACACCCAACAACGCGGATTTCAGGCAGCAGCACGCAAAATAGGGATCGGCTGTCGGCTAGCTCGAAGGTCAGTTGGGGTGGAGATATCAGGGGGGGGGGGGAAGATCGATGAGAATGGTGATCTGGAATGGGGCTTGTCACAGCACAACACCCACCCCGACCATCCCAATCAATTCATTCACACATACACACTCACTCAATACACCCACGCACAGGTACTACTCACAGATGACTTCTGTCCGGTTCCGGGTGCTTTCTTACGACTTTTTGCAATGCGCCAAGACCATCTGGGAAGAATGGGGCGTGAATGAGGGTAAGATTCGGCGCGTACTTAGGCTTAAGTTTATGCTTATGCCTAGGCTTAGGCTTAGGCTTAGGCTTAGGCTTAGGCTTAGGCTTAGGTTAGGCTTAGGCTTAGGTTTGGGCTTAGGCTACACTGCTTACGCTAGGTAAGGGCAAGTGTTGCGTGCGCGTCGCGTCGGGGCAAATCTACAGCATAGAGCATCAAATCCGTCATACAAAAAATGCCGTCTTTGGATTAGGACGCGACACCACCGTGGGTAGCACCCCAAATTCATACGCACGGCTTGCTGACTCCTTTAAAGTGCCCGAGACAGAATTAGGTCCTAGATGAAAAAAGGCGATTCTGCCAACCCGACCCCCTCGGCCGTCGCTAGATGATTGGATACGGTGTTTGGGGGGCCTCCTGTAGTGGGTTGGGTGGCCTGGGGGTCCCGCCGCGAATTCAATTAGGTTGGCTGGGGGCTGCCGTGGTCCTCGGGAACCGGGATTGTTGCCGCTAAAAGCGTGGGAATTCATGCGCTCCGGGCGATGAAGGGGGGGAAGAAGTTATGGAAATCTCTATCCGGGGGGAATGGGTTAAATTTGGGTGGCATCTCCTTTTAGGGCTGCATTAAAGGGACAGTGACACGAAGAAAAGCAATTATTGGATTTTAAAGTCCGCAAAAATGTTTTTAAAGGGACTATCAGCCAAAATCTATAGTTATAGCAATAAATATTTGCGCTTTCAAGGGACCTTTAATAAGCTTCAGAAAATGACTAAACGAACGACGAAACGTAGCCCAAGCTTAAACCGGCCCGCAAAGCATAGGCAAAGCATAAGCGATGCCCAAGTCAACGCTACGAAAGTCGAAGCCTAGGCCTACCCCTAAGCCCAAACCCAAGTGAAGCCGCTGCCTATTTGCGAAGCTCTTCATTTAACCAATTTTTGACCACTGAAAATAGATTGTTGTTGATCATTTGTGGTAAACGAGATTCCCCCATCTGATCACTACCGGGGAATGCATTGACGCAGAGAAAACGGTGATCGTGGTGGTGCCGGGAGTTGAGAATGAATGATGATAACGGAAACGGTCGACCGAAACGCCACCGCGGATTTTGGACAAAGTGATGGGAGGAGAGAACTGGTTGAGTCCTGCACCCCGGCAAGTGAAATGTTTCCGCCCCTTTTTGATGGTCCAAAAATATCTGTGTGTGGGGGAGGGGGTTCGATTGCCTCTTTTGCGGGTATACGCTGACTTTGCTATAGTTTTGGGGAGGAGCCGCGACGTGGCCGCGACGCGTTCAAGAGCAGTTAGATAGCCTCTTTCTTCTTGAATCTATTCCAAGAGGTTTTGGCCTTAAGCCTTAAGGGTAAATACGAAGTACGCGACGCGGCGGTGACGCGTTCACTCATTTTTCGTAGTCTTACCTTCCTAAAATCGAACAAAAACTAAAACCTTTTCCAAATCAAAAAATCAAAAAAATCAAAAACATTTCCAAGTCCGAGCAACACAGCCCGACCCCATTTACGGAAAGGAATATCGTTGAGCCAAATGAGGGAGAGAAAGAGCAACACAACCGTCCCGGCGCTTTTGTTTTCCTTTCTCAGAGCTCCGATCCAAGAGGCGATGCAACAACAATGCCATACCATGCGTCTGGGAAGCTTTTCCGGTTTCTTTTGCCCCGGATTTGGGTTCAAAATACATAGATTGCGATCTTACATTGATATGCGATAATGAAAAGAAACGGCCGTACTAGCACTGAGCGGTCAGGAGGGAGTTTTCGGGAGATACAGCTCTTGCTCTTTAAAAAATAAAAAATAACTATAAAACCTGGCAGGAGCCTTTCGACATTCAAAGTCCCAGGCAGATTCGGGCAAGCTAGCAGGGATCTTTGAGGAATTTAACACTTCGCGGCCCGTCCCTATTCAACCCCAATGGCCGTAAAGAATAGCGATGCTGAATTGCAGGAGTCGGAGGTTGAGGCAAAGGGGAGTGCGGGTTTTGAGTCGGGGAGGTTGTGATTGTGATGCAGAGCAGTCAGTCCTCCTCCTCCTCCTCCCCTACCCCGGCAATGACGACAAAATGTAAATTTTTGGTGTGCGAAGGCTCGAGGTGCTGGCTACCCGCTGAAAAACGGCGAACAAGCCGAAAAGCCGGCCCGGTGAATGTGCGTATGAGGGGTGAGGATTGACGCTATCAATTGGACGGATTTCCATTTTGGGTTGGGAGTTTAAATTTGCAGATTGGCGTGTAGAGGAGTGGAGCGGAATTGAGGAACAGGCGGAACAGTCGCAAGGTGAGGGAAAAACTTTATTAATATGGGGGGTACCTCAAACCAAAACGGGTTAGCGGGCTACGCCCGCTAACCCCGATTGCAGAAATTGAGAGCAAAAAATGGAATGTTTTCTGCCAATGCTCATTCCGAAACATTCCGGAATTACCGACATTTCTATGAGTAATTCCGCGCCGTTCCCAGCTATGAGTGTCCTTTCAAAACATTGGACGATCGAGGGAGGAGAACTATTCGAAAAGATGGGGAAGTCGAGTCTCATTTTGGCCGGGGAAACTGATGGGGTATGCAAAAAGAATCCCTGGAAAATACATCCGGTTTCCGGATTTGTCTTTTTCCGGGGTTGCTGTGGAATCAGAAAGTTGTTCGCCAGCGCTTATCCAGTTTGCGCTTAAGCGACAAAAATTAAGGAAAAGCGGAATTATAGGGTCATTGGCACTTTGTAGAAACGTTGAAGCATAAAAAAAAATCCCTTTTTAAAAGACAGAAATTGATCAAAATAGAAAAATAAATTAGATTGGATCATTTTAGTAATAGTAGGGTAACTTACATGGCAGAGACATTGGACAGTTTGACTCGGCTTTTTTCTACCATTTCTTTACTCGAAAAGCCCATTCCCCGGCCCGAAACAATTCCACGGCGCCTAGAGCGACGCCTTCGCGCAATTATCCGCCCCTTCCAACGGCCACCGGGTTATGGCACTTTAACCCCCACCCCACTGCTTTTTCTATATTCTCTGCCTCTCTCTGTACCTCTCTCTCTCTAGCTCTCGTGCTCGCTCTCTCTCTCTCTCTCTCTCTCGCTCTCTCTACCGTCACCTACGGCTAAATGGATTTTGACCCGCGGCGCGTAGAAGCTGCCACGAAAGTTGGGAAAATAATGGGCTACCGTCCCTGCGCGAACCTAAATTCTGATTGGCACCCGGCCAAATGGCGATTCCTGGTTACAATTCGAATAGTATGAAAATAAGCTTGGGTTGCCCATGCCACAAAAAAATCCAAAAGCGCCTCTGATAGTTGGCCCATCA